GTAGTAATGATAGCCTTAGAAGTGGAGAACTTCTAAGGCTGTCATTACTACCACTTCAGTACCAGTCAGACTATAGCTACCGATAGAGCCGAGGTCTCTCTCGGGCACCCTCGAATCGGAATGAATGAGGTCCCCCTTACGGGCGCCCTTGTGCCTATTTACTCCATGAAGTGTCCGCCAAAGCGCCCTAAGAGCTTGTTGGCCACCCAAATCAGTGAGAATAATAAAAATAGCTTAGACTCGAGCCAAGTCACGTCACGCCAGCTTAGTCACCCATAAATCGCACCCTCAGCCAGCTCAAGCCAGGAGGATCTGTAAACGCCTAAGCATTTAAACACATTTTTATATTTTTGGATCGATTTTTATTTTTTCTTTTCTTCTTTATGTAACAATAAGTTACACATTTCGCGCAATTTTCCCAAAAGTTTTATGATTTTTTATTGTTATTAATTACATTGCAAGTATAGTTATTAAATGCTATGTGTGTCATTACATAATTTCCAATGATTCACAAGTAATTTTACATTTTATTTTACTTTTAGGTTATTTATTTCTATTTTATCACTTATGTGGCAATGTTGCTCTGTTGCTATGGGATAATTTATTTCGATTGGCAATATACTTAAGAAGGTTTCCACCTGAGCCTTTGAAATGAGATCGCATTAGCTATTCTCACGTAAACATTACTCAGTTGTTGCCATTAGCGTTACTTTTACATTTAAAGTGAAATTCAAGGCATTATTTTGCTGTAGCTTACTTAATGACTCTCCTGAAATTTAAAAAAACTTATCGTCAATTATAATATAAATTGACGATCCGATTGGCGTGGGGAGTAGTGAACCTGTCTCTTGCGCCAGCGGGTGTGGGTTCGAACCCCACTACTAGAAATATATTGTGTGATGAACAAAGTGTTTTGCCAGCGTCTGGGTGTTTATATGTATAATATGTTTTTATTTATTAAATAAAAGTATGTTTATTAGTTTTTTTAATACCAATAATAGTTACAAGCGTTGCTTAATTTGGGACTAGTGAAAGTTGTGTAAAAATGTGTCTGAAAATATTTATCATCATTAAATACTGTTTTTAAGACACACACTAAACAGAGATTATGCCGAAAGCAAATGAAAGGTTTGTTTGTCATGAATATCCAATCAGAATCCAAATATTGTATGTGATTTAAAATGGTGATTAAGATATGCCATCGCATAGCAGTCTTTTAAGTAGCTGCTGATAACTTGTGATGTACCATTACATATTACTCATATGTTCTATTTATAAATTAGTCATTTGTGAAAGCTACGACATACTACGTTAGATATTTGTGCAGTACTTATGATGAAATAAATATAATTTGGTACTTTTTAAGAAAGAACATTAATAAAAAAATACATATTAATCATCATATATGAAAACTCCTTTTAAAGAATAAAAAGTGTCATACCAGGTGTGTCGTCTGACAGAGTACATCTCTCGACAATTAATTTTTTTTTCTTAAATATAATATTAATATTATTTTTAAGTTCCTTATGGAAACCAAACGTCTAATATCTTAAATAAATAACAAAAAAATGCAGTTCAAAGCGATCACAGCTTCTGATTCACCACCAAATTTTGCACTAGATTTTCTATTCACAAATATTTTTTTGTTTCGCAGAAAACTGTTAAATTCGCTATCATAAGCTAATAAAGGCGTGGAATACACTGCCAGATTTCCCGCTTAAGATAAAAGTGCAAATTTCAATAGATTTTCATAATAATTACGGAACCACTTTAAACTGTGAAAGTAATAGATAGATATTTATTGTTGCTGTTGAGATTTTATTGTTTTAGGTTGTATATTCCTCCCTTTTGTTGCATGTGTGCAAAACTGTTGCTCAAAACAAACTTGATACTGCATAGTTTCTTACAAAAAATTAGACATTGACAAATTGAACGCCAATATTTTAATACCATTTTTTCTACCAATAAGGCCAACATCAATAATAAATTGTTTAAATATTCCGTGTTCTAGGGATCAGAATGAAAAAAAAAACTCAACAATTAATTAAAGTTTTGTTGGTTTGTATGATAAGATTTGATTTTGTTTAATTTCAGTCACACAATTACATTAAATAAGTCGGCGAGGAGACATACCTTATACACCACGAATGGCTAAATATGAGTTGTGATCTACAAAAGAGATGCTGCAGTATATTCGGTAGATCTTCTTACCCAATTTAACAGGTGCAGAGGGCAGGGTTGCGGTCAACACTACTCACAGCTACTTCAGCGCGCAAAGCATGTACTCAACTCAGCTACTGTACTTCTATCTGTAATCGATAATGGGTGAGAGTACCAGAATCAGAGCAAAATTATAATCGTAATCGGAAGAATTGCAGAACGGAACGGAACGGAATTACCTTCATCACGTAAAATGTGAATTCGAACGAACCATATCATCGGCTTCGTAAAACATTAACAAGGCAAAAGTGCAAAATTTACTCAACAAGATATTTGTTAGACACGCGTAAATATTCATTCACAGAAAGGTATTACCACTAAAACTTTTAACGAGGGTTAGGCTGTTTTATCTCCGATCGGAATCCTTGTTTTATTATGGTTAAAAATAACTTTTATTATGGTTTATAATACCATTTTGTCGCTTTTTTTTAGCAATATGCTTATTTAAGAAAAGACCGTCGATGACAATGATGTTTAATAATATATAATAGGTCTTATGTAATAGGACCTATGAAATTTCCGTTCTTCATAACTGGCCATTTCAAACAAAAAAAAGTTTTGATTAGCTGTGAATTCTAAATTCACATTAATTTTGTTTTAAAAACATGAATTTCTTTTTACAAAGTCATTCTTTTGTTTATTGATTGGCTTTGTATTTTCATTAAATTTGATAATTTTCCTCCGGTTACCTCACTCAGCTGACGAAATGCGGACACTTCCACTTCACGTCGGTCTTCTATGCAATGTTGCGGGGCCCTACAACCGTTGAATTAGACGTATTTCATTCTTTACATGATATACGTTAAGATTTTCGTCAGTGTGGAGATAAGCTGGTTAGCTCAGTGGTTAGAGCGTCGGGCACGTAACATGGAGAACGCAGGTTCAAATCCTTGCGGCGGTGAAAAACTTTTCGTCTATTTTTCTACAAGCTTTAAAGTAAAACTATTACTTTTTACCTTTCTTCGTTGCCAAGTGAATAAATAAATCTAATTCAATATTTTAGAATGACTTATTATGAGAGAAGTTCACTTTTGGCTGTGACACTTCCAATTATAATTCATTGATAATACTAAAATATGTACCACATAGTTAATATTTAAAGCAATTAAGAACTCTCGTAAATACCTTAATCTGTTTAGCTCCGTGAAAGTTTCATCTATATTGCTATGCTTTACTCTGAAAATGAAGTGGGAGTTTAAAGCCGAGGATAAAGAGCATAATACTGATTAGAAACTATACACAAAAAATCTAGTGATGTTGTATTTATATTCACAACAGTCTGGAGACCGATTGCTTATGTACAGTTTATAGTTAGTGTGGTATAATCACTTCCTTGGAGTATATTCGTTCTATGGCTATTTCTGTAACTATTAACAGCAGTGGCGAATTTACCTGGCTTAGGAGAATTTAGTCTAGGGCGACAGATTTTAGGGGGCAGCAAAGTCAGCCCAAAAATGTTTGTCTTACAGAAATTTTAAAAAAACATAAATTTAGACATAGACAAAACGAATCTTAAAAATTTTACGAATATTTTAATATATTAGTACTGTACAATACACTAAACACTCTAACGTCTGTATATGAATTATTAATAAACCGATTGTAAAATATATTTTTGTAATCCTAATTTTTACATTTCTTTATTCATCATTACTATATTTTTTTTAAGTATACCTAAATGTTACTATGAGTAGGACAACTCTCATAATAAACGTGCTATGTGTATTATCTTTCAACACTTAAATATATTTTTTATGCCACATATTTATGTAGTCGGTTTGGGATTGCGGTGCGGGAATAAATGATCTATGACCGTTCGCTAAGTGCCCGGATAAATTAACGTCACAAGCGTGACGCATCCGGGTTGCCGGTGGGGTGTGTCATATGCTACCCTTTGTGGAAGCAGGAAGTGGATGTAGAGCGCCGATAGAAGCGAGGAAGTCCCGTTCTGTTTTTACTTAAAACACTTACTTTGGTATGGCTACGCAACAACTATTGCACGAATTGGCAGGCGCGTCCGGGGAAGTACCACAGCCTCACAGAAGACCAGCGTGAAATGTAAATATATAAATTTTGCGTGAGGTAACCGGGGCCCACTTTTTTAAAGGTTGTCAACGCATCTGCAAGTCATTGGGTGTTGTAGATGTTCATAGCCGGCAGTATTCACGTAACATCAGGTAAAACGCTTGCTCGCTTGACAAATTTCACATAAAAAAACAAACGAAAGTCACCTCGAACAGTTCTAATTTCAGAGGTAAATAAGGGCGGTAAAATTAAACAGTCTATTGGCGGCAAATGTGTAAATCCACCACTGGTTAACAGTGTGGTCAACGTATACTATTTAAGCTACTCAGGACGAAAATGATTTTCGTCGTTTATCCTAGATATTATCGGGGAATACCAGGAATTGGTCTTAGCTTTTATGAAAACAAAGGATGCAATGAAGTGACATTTTGCTGTAAATGAAATAAGTTGATTTAAATTGCGCTTAATTTACTTATAACGATATTTGGATACTTTAGGCTGCAGGAGTTGAAATTAAAAAATGTGACATCAGGCCCTGCATTGTTGGCAACACTGAACGTGCTCTAATTACTAAACTGACAACGTCAATCAGTCAGCTGTCAATGTCATTATTGTGTTTGTTGCGTTGCCGTTGCCCGTCTGAATATTTACGCAAATCATAAAACAAATAATAATTTAGGGAGTATTTTAGAAGATCTAATAGTTAGTCATGATATCCTTTGTTAGTTGAATACAGATAAAATTATTCAGTAATCATGTGTGATAGCGATGACCAAGCAGAGCATGGGCGCTCTGGTATGGATTTAACTGGTTTCTTGTTTGGAAATATTGATGAAACTGGACAACTTGAAGATGATGGATTGCTTGACGGGGACTCTAAACGAATGCTCTCCTCTCTTAACCGACTGGGTCTGGGATCTATGCTATCTGAAGTTCTTGAACAGGATGAACCAAATCAAGAAGACGAAGAAAAAGGTGTGATATATTGCTTTTATTGTCTCATTTACTGTTAAGTTTTATCACAATATAGTAGGTAAATGTTTACCCAAAGGGCCATTTCATTTAGCCTCCAATTGTAACATATTTTTTTTTTAAATGTTTCTTATATCATTGCCTATACATGGTGGCTTTTCTAAGTGTATCCATTTTTTTAATTAAATTATAGACAAATGATAATATATAATAAAATGATAAATGTTTAAAATCACTCTTTAAGTAATTAATTACATTCATTTGAACTTATCTTAAAAAGTGTGATTTATACGCAACTTATTTATTTTACGCGCGATCATTCGTAACTAACACGCACACAGGTTCGTGCACAGTGAAATTTAGGTATTTATGAATGATTATCGCATTGTCAACACATTCTGTTTTTTAGGGAATAGAATGGCATTTTTTTTGGAAAAAAAAATTTATTTCAATAAACAATTATACTACCAAGTCTGAACCTCCTGTGTAAATTTGGGCACTACTCAAAGAATCTCCCTGTATATATTCAATATACACGAGCAACCTGAGTTCAATCCCCATCGCCAGTATGAATGAAAATGTTAATTTTAAGTCGTGCCTTATCACATGCTCACCGGTGAAAAAAATATTGTGAGGAAACCCGCATATTTTCAAAATAATATATATATATATATCGAATAAATACATATTGAATATACATGAAGTTTGTCAATCTGTAGTGGGGCCGTCTGGTGCCCATTCGGGCACCAAACCACTCTAACATGCATTGTATCAACTGTGTTCAAAGGAGGCATTTGCCCAACAATGGGATGTGTATAGGCTGTTACTTACTTTTTTTATTAAATAAGTTTTCTACTACAGACACATGGTCTGTACCATTTTTAAAATTGTGTTGAATACAATATTTGGGTACCCTTTAAACAACATCATATGCCTTAACTACCTACATGTTACAGCTACATCAGTGAGTATTTTTTTCTAAAACTTACATGAGTAAAAGCTAGTTAAATTACAATTACTTATTTCAACTCACTTTTCTAAAATACATTTCAAATGTTAGCAAGTTAGTCAGACCATGCTTCCAATGCGGAGTACCACATGCGGGTTACCAGTGAGCGCAGCCCGGGCTGATTTCAGAGTTGTGAATGTCTTGTTTTATTTAATAGTTGTGGGTCTTAAATCATCTTGCTTGCAAGGACCATCAATTTTTTTTTTACATACAAATTTTAAAATTACTTCTTATTTGAATTTTATTAAAAACTTAAAGACTTGGACTATGATGATGAGATGAATGTTTACTGAAACATCAAACTTGCAATATTCAGGTCATATTGTCTTATTTAAGGTAATCATTATAAATTATGGTTTTTTTTCCTTCCTAGATTATACAGAAAAAAGTCCATCTGCAGTAGACTATTTTGATATTGATGATGTTGCAGAAGAAGTGAAAAGTGAGGTAATAGAAATAATATGTTTTTCTATTTATGGTATTGTGATAAAAAGTGGAGCTACTAAAGCGGTATTGAAATAGGTAATACAATAATTGTTTGATGATTGTTGGAGTTGTTTGTACACAATTTGTGTGTAAAATTATCAAACTAAATAATAATATTCAAAAGAAAAGCAACTGGATTTTTCTTCTTCTTCTTCTTCTTCAACGTGTGTTCGCCCACCATTGGGCATACGCCTCTCCAATTTTCTTCCATTCGGCACGACTCTCTGTTTCCCTTGATTACATTAAGGAGACTGCGCTTGCTGTCTCCTTAATGTAATCGGACCATGAGGCTGGTGGTCTGCCCACACTTCTGCCTACCAGGAGTCTCCACTCCAAAACGCGCTTGCTCCAACGTTCCTCTTTTCTTCGGCACATTTGTACGGCCCAAGCCCACATTAACTTCGCCACTCGGTGGCCTAAGTCGACCACTTTCGTGCGACGTCGGCCACTCGGTGGCCTACGTCGACCACTTTCGTGCGACGTCTGATGAGCTCTTTCCGGACTTTATCATGCAATGTTATGCCAAGCATAGCACGCTCCATGTTGCTCTGCGTCACCTTGAGCTTGTGGATCAACCCAGCAGTCAGTGTCCATGTCTGGATGAACTGGATTTTATTTTGCTTTATTATTTTTTGTAAATATTGTCAATGCTGTGGTCATTGTATATGAGTATTTTTTTTTATTAGATATTTGAAAAATAAATTAAAGTATTTATAATATTAATCTTATGCTTTTATATTATGTACTTTTATGGTGTATTAAATTGTATTTAATATTACATATATAAGATATTTATGTTTGTTGTTAATATAGCATTTGGTCGCTTATTTTTTGGCACCTCTTTTTATGTTGTTATTAATATTGTATTTTTTTGGCACTTTATTGTAGTTCCAGCACTTGTTATTAACAATAAAATTACACTGTAGGATTTAGCTGATAGCACTAATCAAGATGCACAAGGGGGGGATATACAAACTGAAGAGATTAAAACAAAAGAAGAAGAGGAGTCGCTGAGCAAAGACAGTAATTGTCCACAGAATGAAGTAAAGAACGATAAAGATGATGATTGGTTAAAGTCTGACAACGCCGAAGATAATGAAGCAGAACAACGAAATAATGATGAGGGTTACGAAGGTGACATGGAAGGAGATGGAGGTCTCATGCCACCACCATCATCAGTTCCGTTAGTATTACATCCTGCTCTTTTTAGACATGTTCTATATATAATGCTATGTAATGGTTTATTTCATTAACATTTAATAATTTTAGTAGACAGAAAACTGATAAACCAAGGAAGTTGGAGACTCCTCTTGCTGCCATGCTACCATCTAAGTACGCTAATGTTGATGTAACTGAACTATTTCCAGATTTTAGACCTGACAAAGTAAGTTAATCCAATATATGAGCATTGGGTCAATAGTGGCAAAGTGTTTTTGTTTGTTTTTAAATTTTATTGTATGTTTCTTTGTATGCAGGTACTTTTGTTCTCCCGTCTTTTCGGTCCCGGCAAACTATCAAGCCTACCACAAATATGGCGTGGGGTAAGGAAGCGCCGAAGAAGAAAACGCAGCGGCAGCACAAGCAGTGACACACCACCGCAAATTCCAGAGAACCAGGAACCCCAGTATGCTAGTGATGATGAAGAGAAATTCCTAAAGTAAGTACCTATGTTGCTTAACAATTGTCTGACATTTAAATGTTAGACAATAGATGAGGTTATTATGAAAAATGAGGAATTAGCACTAAAAATAAAGAATATATTTATTTTAACAAATTATGTTGCTTTAAATCAATCTTAAATTGATACATGTTTTTATAAATATATCTGATATGCACTGATTTCAGACCCATGGAGGAGAGTCAACAAATGAATTCGGATAATAATTCGCAAAATTGTGGCGACAAGTCACAAAAACCTACACCGGCGCATTGGCGTTTCGGTCCAGCTCAGATGTGGTATGATATGCTCAATGTTCCAGAGACCGGCGAGGGATTCGATTACGGTTTTAAAACAAAGGTATCGTAAAATTTTCTGTAAGTTTATGTGATACTCTTAGATTTTATGCAGTAACTACACAATGAGTAACTAATGTTCTTTTTTTTTACAATTGTCCTTATTAAACATTGTCCTTACTATAGGATAACATTACCCTGTGTCGTAAGAATTTTTTACAAACATAAATTTCACGAGAACAAACGCCCAGGCCCAAAACAATTGTCTGTGGATCACACGAGTGAACTGTGGTTATGATGCCCATACGGGAAGATAACTTGCCAACTGTGATACGGATTCATATATCATAATTTCTTTTAAAATCAGCACGCAAGGCACTAGAACAACCTTTTACAGCATATATCAGGGTGCTTATAACTTCATGTCATAGAATGCAGTACAAGTAATGCTAGAAATAACCAATGTTTATTCTCTTCTATTGCAGGCTCCTTCTACAGATGCCGAAGAGAAACCAAAAGAATTGGACGAAGCTGAACAAGCTCAAGGTGCCGGTAGTCCTGACAGTGGCTTTCCTGACGACGCATTTCTGATGGTCTCACAACTGCAATGGGAAGATGATGTCATATGGGACGGCAGTGAGATTAAACATAAGGTGTGTAATTGAACATAATGCTCTTGAGTCCATTTTTACAGTTTCAATAGTCATAATAAATTCGTTTGGAATACAAAGTCATGACATTTTGAAATAAAGAGACAATAATTTATTCTTTTTTACATTATCTAAATGAAAATACAAAATTTTAATTCATTCATTTTATAGCTTGTTTGTAATTTAAGTTTGCACATATGTAAATATATTTTAATTTTGAAACAAAAACCTCTGCTGTATGAGGTAATTCTATGTTGTAGAGGCGTTTGCAGATACTTTGTCCTAGGGAACAGATAAGGACTGGAATAATTATCTGTAGGTCCTAGAAATTTTTGTCCTGGATGGAAGTCGAACCCACGACCCGCGGTGCCGAAGTCTATCGTTTATCTTATTTTATTATATTTAGGGATCTTAAAACATGTAGAAAACGGATTTAGGGATCTATTTATAATAGATTATATTTTAGGATACATTATATTTATTTCGATCCAAATATAATTACTTACGTACTTTGTGCATTCACTTCACTGAATAATTGCAAAATGAAATGTATATTTCGCCCCTTTCTATCATGGATCATCAGGCATTATTTAATACGTACGGTCACGGCGTTTTCACAGGTTTTGGCCCGTCTCAACAGTAAGAGTAATGCGGCTGGCTGGGTGCCGACTTCTGTAAGCAGAACCGCTCAACAATTCTCTCATCCACGTCCGCAGCCAACCACACAACTGCAACCTAAGCCACCTACGTGAGTATACTTGTATCATAGGGTGTCTTCTTCGGATCTATGGCTTGCACTAATCAATTTTATTTATCGCAATTTCGATTAAAATTTGTACCGAAATGCACAAAAAGTTTTTCGTCTCGGTGGGAATCGAACTCATGTTTTCCGGAAGAATCTGGCGTAGAAACGCCTGGGCAAATTTTAATGTTTCATTTTAAGTGCAGAACACAAAAAATTAAATAATTGTATCAAACAATAACAACGATTACTACCAAAAAATTATTTATTGCAATAACAACCTAAGTAGAATATAAAGTTGTTCGCTACTGGAAGCGTGGAAGCGTAGTGGGAGCGAGACAGGAAATATCTTAGAATGCGGTTCGAGCGAGAGGACAATATCCTGCCCCCACGTCCCGCCCTGCATGTAGCCGCGGCTTCATAGTACGTGCATTTAACTTTTGCGTATACTACCAACGAAAGTAAATGCCTACATGACATATATAATTAAATGCTTGAGTATAATTAAAATACACTAACAATATAATTTGTATCTTTCCTACTGTTCTTGCCTAGTACTTCTAAAGTTTAATGTGTCGTTAAAATAGTTCAAGGGTAAAATAATCAAGTTGTAATTTTAAATTAACTTGTTATAAACGTTTTCTCTTGATAGCTCTGCGGCGTCGTCAGCTAACGGCCAGCCTGGCGGTTCCGCTGCCGATGGCGAAGACAACACATGGTACAGCATATTCCCCGTGGAGAACGAGGAACTGGTGTACGGAACCTGGGAGGACGAGGTTATATGGGACGCGGAGAACATGCCGGCCGTACCGAAACCGAAGATATTGACGCTGGACCCCAACGACGAGAATATAATTCTGGGAATCCCAGACGACGTGGATCCTTCTAAGATAACGAGAGGTAGATATTATGAATTCAATTTTCGAATAGTTTTATAATCGTCATTAATCCAGTTGTTTTTTTTTTCAATCAAATAGCTATGTAGGTATAAGCGTAAGCAGGTAATAAATGAATAATCTCTTGTGTATTTATGACATGGGGCCTTTTGTACCAGTTCGTATTTACAAATAAATTATATTTCTGTATTAAATATAATTATAGAAATATAATTTGAAGGGCGGTTAATAAAGCAGTAAATAAAACCATATATAATATTTTTCGTACTGTTTGCTTTGATTTTCTCATTTAGTTTAACGGAATTAAACATGCCTGAATAACATTGAACACATAACTACCTATTACACGTATGTGTAGTAAATTTTCTCAAAGTCAAAATCAATATAGGCTTATTTTAAGCTCTTATTGAACATCATAAAACTTCCACCGGTTCACTAATCTATAAAGTTCAGAGGAGAACCGGCAAGAAACTCTGTGGTTTTATTATCTTATAATTTTTTTCCATTATTAATTTTGAAATCTGGCACAAGCTGCTTTAAACCCATTCGCAATCCGCTTACGGTCATTGATTACTAACATTATTTTAATATTATATTGAATATTTATAAATAATAGTCCTGAACGGTTTCAGAGCGTGGGCCGGCGCCAAAAGTTAAAATACCACATCCACACGTCAAGAAGTCCAAGATCCTGCTCGGCAAGGCGGGCGTGATAAACGTGCTTCAGGAGGACGCCCCGCCACCTCCCCCAAAATCCCCTGACCGAGATCCATTCAATATATCCAATGACGTGTAAGTTGCTCTTTGTGTATTCCGCCTAAAGCACGATTCAGACCAAACGGGTAGTACGGGGCCACAGGATGTAGAAGTGGTCATGTAGTCAATCTGCCCTTTAGTGTATAAATTTAATTGTATGTAACATATCTTACTCAGTTAACAAATATTAAATACTTATGTATATGCTTATTTTTGCAATCAAAACATTTGTAATTAAAGTTCGGAAATTGACGCGCCAACGTTCCGTTTGGAGTGCATCGTATTTAGTTTTACATTTATTGTGGGCAACGCTATCAATAATTTCTCGACCGATTGATGTTAATATTCGTTATGATATATAGTGGAGCACATTTTTTGTTCTTAATAACGTCTCACGCTATCAAGAACAAAAAATGTGATACTACTCTAGTTGTGATACCTGAACGCTGGGGGATTCAGAAACACTGAATCGCGTTACGCCTATCAAACACAAAGTGGAACGAAACTCTGAACAAATTGTTTATTTTTTATTTTTAGTAAGTAGTAGACTTTGCACTTGAGATGAAACTTGAAAGATAAACTTCTTTTGTTTGAGTTTGAATGCATTACTGCATTCGCTGTCACGGCCTGTCCTGTTATTTTCGTTAGCTAGGACTACCGTCAGCTTTCAAATTATTTATTTAATTATGAATCACGCAGAAAACGCACCAGTTTACCATGAAGTCTCTTGTAGTGCTATTGCACTCAGGTCTAGGTATTGATAAACAATAAACTTAATGTAAATCGCGATCAAATCCTTTCTGATCAAAATGTTTAGATAAAACACTCGCAAAATAATATGTGATCGAGTTAACTATGATAAGCCAACACTTTCAGGTACTACCAGGCGAAGTCGCAGAACCCCCGTTTGAAGGTCGGCGGAGGTCAACTGATACAGCACAGCACGCCGGTGGTGGAGCTGAGGGCGCCCTTCATTCAGACCCACATGGGCCCGGCGAGACTGCGCGCCTTCCACAGGCCCGCCATGAGGAAACTATCTTACGGGCCCCTGGCCACTAACGGACCTCATCCCGTCCAGCCGCTCTTGAAGCACATCAAGAAGAAGGCCAAGGTCTGTCTTATGTCTCAGATTCCTCACAGATATTTTCCTCTATATGCGATTTACAGGAGTATACATTACTCGGAAATATGTATTGGGAAATATTGTACTCTTAAACAAAAACTCTTTTGCTCTGAATTTTAAATGGAATTGTAGGTTTTGAAATCCTTATTTGTATCATAAATTCGATGGCGTGTCTATTCCTCCGTTCTTAGCGATGGGATCTGCGCATATTCATAATGAACCGCAGTGCCATAGACCACTTCTTCCTACGGAAATATGTTCACCTTAGGTACTGATTACAGTTCAGGCAGCCGATTAGATTTTATATAGAGTATATATAGCATTGTTCTGTAATTATAGATTAAAAGGGGTAATTACCTGTAGCAGAAAAAAAATATTTAAAAATATTTTAGGTCTTTGACAGGACATGCCTTCCTGAATTATGGGTATCCCTTTGGAATAGATGAGATGTAATTTTTATTGTTATCAAATCTCCATCTTAAAAAGGTAAACGAACGACTCAAGTTTAGTTTGGATATTTCTCATGTTTGCATATGTATGTGTATTGCGTTTTGCTAGGTATTGTTTCTTATTAGTAGTAAAGTACCCGCGCGTTGTACGATAACAGTGTCTATCAGCTGATCCGTGATATTTTAATCTAAATGTATAGTTAAAGTTTACGTAATTTAACAATTTTTGTACATGACATAGTCCTCATTATAAAGAAGTGATAAGTGTTTGGATCGTCAAATTCGGTGCAGGGGTTCGTGAGTAATCGCATTTTGTATTTACAAATCATCGATAAATCAAAAACTCCCTGACCTAGGCCAACTCGCGATCGCCCCGCATCTACGTCACACTATATTCAATTGCATGTAAGCGCCTGTAAAATAATCTATAGCAAGTCACCATATTAACTTTTTGCTTACTTTACCACACCTGTTCCGCAAAGATGAGTACAAAAACCTTGAGAAACAAAAAATGTGGCGCGTGCTCTGAAGAACTTACTACGCAGGAGCAACTTAAATGTATTACATGCAGTTACGATTGTATCAATACCAGCAGCAAAAAATATATAGAAATTTCTACTGATTTTAAAAACAATTGGGTTTGCCCGACTTGCCGAGCAAAGCAACCAAAATATGATAATTCTGACACGCCTGTTCGCAGCTCTGGAATCTCACCTCGAGACACGAGCAGTAACATCACAATTAGACGCACACAACCTACGCACCTAACTCAAAGTCGGGAATCTCTTACTCTCGAGAGTATAAAGCACATAATTCAAGATGAGATGAATGCATTTTTAAACAAAATTGAAAATAATACTAGCAAAATTATAGAAAATAAAATAAAGGGACTAACCAAAGAAATCACTGATCTAAAAGAATCTGTTCTTTTCATTAATAACCAATACGAAGATTTAAAAAAGGATATACAAGTAAAACTTGTAAAGATGTAAAACAATTAAAAGAAGAAAATGATAGCTTTAAATCAACAGTAAAAGACCTCAATAGTCGCTTAAGCATAATGGAGCAGCATTCAAGAATGAGCAACCTAGAGATACAATGTGTTCCGGAACATAGGGCCGAAAATATACCTAATATTGTTACACAAACAGGGAAGATTACTGGCAGTAAAATATCCGACGCTGATATCCATAAATGTACAAGAATAGCCAAGATTAATCCAGAAAATGCACGACCACGGTCTATTATGGTGAAGTTTGCTTGTCCACGGGTTCGTGATACATTCTTAGCCGGAGTAATAAATTTCAATAAAAGAAACACCGATGAAAAACTAAATACAAGCCATATCGGGATAGGTGGCGACAAAAAACCTATATTTGTAGTCGAACATTTGACCCCGGAGCTAAAGAAAATCCACACACTTGCCAGAGCGACAGCAAAGAAATTAAAATACAAATTTGTCTGGATTAAAAATGGTCGTGTGTTTTTAAGAAAAACCGATAATTCTGAACATATTGTCGTGCGTAACATCGAGCAGCTCGAAGAATTACAATAGTGAAGTGCTTATCTGTCTAGTTTCTTATCGAAATTCTGTAACATACGATACCTTAAATATATATTACCAAAACGTAAGGGGGATTCGTAGTAAAACGCGGGATGTAAAACTTAACATACTATGTAATGACTTCGACATCGTAATTTTTACAGAAACTTGGCTTAATGACGGCGTGTTCGATAGTGAGTTTATTGATGATCGCTATACGGTATACAGGAGAGATAGGGAGCAATTAGACCCAAAAAGAATCAAAAATGGGGGGGGTGTAATGATAGCCGTTAAAAATACCTTAAAATCAAGCCGTTGCCTGCATTGGGAGAGTAACTGCGAAGATCTATGGATTACGGTTGATGCAATTATAGATGGTAAACAAAGTCATGTTGCGATAGTATACTTGCCACCTCCGATAAATAGCAATGTGCTAAGTTAATTTTTAGAAAATGCGTCCAAAGCTATTAATACAAATGAATACGTCATGCTAACGGGAGATTTTAATATTAGTAGTATTTCTTGGTCGAAAGTACCGGAATTAAATTGTCTACACCCCTTTAGTAGTTCTAACTTAGCGTCTACCTTTGTGGATTTTGTCGAGGAACACAATTTAAAACAATTCAATTCAATAGTTAACGCAAATGGCAGGATGCTTGATTTGGTTCTTTCAAATCATACCCATGTGTCAGTTAGCCAAAACCTCAATCCAATAAGCATAATCGATAATCATCATCCGTCACTTAACCTAGAGCTCGATTTCTTGAAGATTAATACGATCAATGCACAGCTCAATGAACGGTACAACTTCTTTAAAGCAGATTATGAGGACATTAAGAACGAATTAGATGGTACAAAATGGTTAGAACTCTTACTAAATTGCGATTCAGTAAACTCAATGCTTAATGTATTTTATCATAAATTAAAATCAGTAATCGAAAAACACGTGCCAAAGACTAAGCTTAGAAGTACAAAGTTTCCCTTATGGTATAATAATAAATTAATTTCTATGTTAAAAATTAAAAATAAATATCGAGTAAAAAGTAGAATTTACAATAACCCTCTAGACATACTCAAATTTAAATCACTAAGGTTTAGATGTAATAAATTAATTAAAACAAGTTATAATAATTATATTGAATGCGTTGAAAGTAACCTACAAAAAAATCCTAAATATTTTTGGACACTTAAAAAACGTAAAAAAACCATCAAACACGTACCCAGCCAGAATGGTACTAAACAGTAAAGTTGCTACCGATGGCCCAGGAGTGTGCAATCTCTTTGCTGAATCCTTTGCTTCCGTTTACGAGACTAGAGACCTACCCTGCACAAACATTCAACTACAAACAGTTACTGAAAACAATCTTTGTTTAATAAACATCAATGTTAAGGAAGTAATAAAAAAAAATAAAAAGACTTGACGCAAAGAAAGGTGCTGGACCCGACGATCTTCCTCCATCGGTTATTAAGAAGTGTGCTAAAGCGTTGTCTTTGCCTATCTGTATTATCTTTAATACATCCCTCAGTACCGGAGTCTTCCCCGATATGTGGAAACTTGCAAGAATAGTGCCTGTGTACAAAAAAGGGAATCGAGATAATATTGCGAACTACAGACCCATATCAATATTATCAGTTCTCTCTAAGATCTTCGAGTCCTTGATCTCACCTATATTGTCACGCCACGTCCGCCACTCTATCTCAGACAACCAACACGGATTTATGACATCTCGATCTACTGTCACAAACCTTTCATGTTTTATGAATTATATAACACCGTACGTCGACTCACGTCATCAAGTAGATGCTATCTATACTGATTTCTCCAAAGCCTTCGACAGGGTTAATCACAAGTTGTTGATAGCGAAGCTATCATCGTTTGGAATCGGAGGACCATTACTGTCGTGGTTTGCTTCATATTTAAAAGACAGATTTTCATACGTAGTGATCAGAGGCCACTTTTCTCAAAAATATGAGTGCACTTCGGGAGTACCACAGGGATCCATATTAGGACCCCTATTATTTAATATTTTCGTAAATGATGTAACTAATTGTGTACATAATTCAAAATGTTTCATCTTTGCGGACGCTCTGAAACTCGCAAAAGCAATTCTTAACGATCATGATGCACAATCTCTACAAGAAGATGTCGATAGAATTGCTCGTTGGAGCAAGTTAAATGGCATGGATCTCAACGCTTCTAAATGTTCATATATCAACTTTACGCATACTGCATTAGAAACCCAATACACGTTGAACAATAACCGACTTCAGAAGCTTGAATCCATCCGAGACTTAGGGATAACAATTGATGCTAAATTAAGGTTTAATATTCATATTAAAAATATTTGTAGATCGGCACGCAAAATGCTGGGGTTTTTATACCGGAATTCAAAATGTTTAAAAAAAAATCAAAACAAAAAAACTTCTTTACACTTCCTTAGTTAGAAGTAAACTGAAGTACGGGACCATCATATGGAGCCCTAATTATCAAATACACAAAGATCGTATAGAAAGCATACAAAGACGATTCACTCAATATTGTTCTAGTGATAATCATATCCTATTCTACTCGTCTCCTAAAACTAAAATTAAACTCACTATCGGACAGACGTAAACTACATGATTTAGTTTTTTTGTACAAGCTTACAAATGGAACTATAGATTCTGCAGAATTACTATCACAAATATTGTTTAAAGTTCCCTGCCGTGTACCGCGTTTTACGATTCCCTTACTCAATCACAAATTGTGTAAAACTAATCTTGGTCATCACTCTCTTATACCGAGAATAAGCAGATTGTATAACGAATGTGTGCTTAAAGATAAGACTATTGACTTATTTAGCGATAGTATAAAAACTTTTAGAGCCAACATTGTCAAACTATTTATTAATTCAAAGTAAAAATTCTACCATAATTTTATCTCTCTAGCTAACTCGATATAAATTGTTATTATTTTTATAAATTTTCAATTTATTGTCTTATTGTTGTTTTTTTTTTGTTGTTTCATATTAGTATTTTACTCATACTTGTAATTATTATTGAGTTATCGTACACTTATCGTCTTTTTAAACACGCTGTAACTACCTTTAAATGGAAACATGTAAATCGTAGTTCCTAAGTCTATTGACAGTCTTATAACAAAACAACATGTTATTCCGTTGGTGGTTCTATCAATAAATAAATAAATGAATTAGGTTACTTTTGTTTCAACAGCAACGCGAAGCGGAACGCTTGGCGTCAGGTGGCGGCGATGTGTTCTTCATGCGCACTCCTGAGGACCTCAGCGGCAAAGACGGCGAGCTGGTACTGGTGGAGTTCTGCGAGGAGCATCCGCCGCTCATCAGCCAGGTCGGGATGTGCTCCAAGATCAAGAACTATTACAAGCGGACAGCTACCAAGGTGCGTAATCTTTTTCGTAATATTTTCAAGTTAAAATTTTACATGTACATATAGAAGACCTCTAGGAGTTCTACGTCTGCCATGCAACTTGTCTACCACTCTACCGAAATGGTTACGGTGGTGGGGCCACGCAACAGTGTTCGCTGTTGCACGAATGGGCAGGTACGTCTGAGTTATTACCCCGACCTCACAGAAGACCGGCGTAAAGTAGAAGTGTTGCACTTCTGCCTTTCGTCTGGTGAGTGAGGTAGCCGGGCCCACATTATTAAGAGGTGGCAACGCATCTGCAACCCTACGAGTGTTGCAAATGTCCATGGGCAGGCGGTTATCACTTAACATCAGGTGGACCGCCAGCTCGTTTCCCGCTTCCTCACATAAAAAAATATATTTTTATGCTTTAATATAAGTTACCTTCAATGTTTATTGTTTAGTTTATTTTATTTATTTAGTTTATTTGTTTAGTCTTATTAAAATACGTTAAGCAGTAATGATTTATTACAGTATAAATCATTCATCGTTTTTTAATGTTGCAATAATACACCAGAGTTAGGTTTTATTTTATTGTCAGAAGGAGGCTAACGATCTGGCGGTCCACTTGATGCTAAATGATAACCGTCGCCCGTGGACAATGTACAACACCCGTAGAGTTTCAGGCTACCTCACTCACTAGACGAAACGCGGAAGTATAACAATTCCACTTGACGCCAGTCTTCTGCGAGGTCGTGGTACTCACCCGGACGGACCTGTCCGTTCGTGAAACGGCGAAGACTGTTGCGTGGCCCTACCGCAGTGATTTACATAGCATATTCAAGTTGAAATACATTTGTACACATGTCTTTTTTTTGATAAATAATGGTAAAAAAAGTCCCGCAGACTTTCTTTCGCCGGTTCTTCTCAGCTCAGTGGCTTTTCTTTCCGAACCGGTGTCAAAACGCTACCACCACGGTAGTAGAGTTTTGACAATCAATAAGTAAGTGTAATGCTTCTATATTGAATAAAGGTATTTCATTTTGATTATGATTTTATTGTTACTATTTCAGGACAACGGCCCCAAATCGTTCAAATACGGTGAAGTGGCGTACGCGCACACCTCTCCGTTCCTGGGCATTCTCGCCCCGGGCGCTTCCCAGCCGGTGGTTGAGAACAACATGTACCGAGCGCCGATTTACGAGCACACGCTGCCTCAGACCGACTTCCTGATTATAAGGACAAGGTCGGTGATACACGTATATTACGTATTCGCGAGGAAACCTTCATTATTTGTAAGAAAGAAACGTTCATTCACGGTCTAACTACAATAGATACACGAAAAACTTAGAAAGTAATGTAATTACACAGTATACAAAATAATATTGAACAAAAATAAGTGAAATTTTGTGTAGCAGCATTAAATTTTGTGTACCGTGAAATGGACGGGACTCAGTGAAAATCGAGATACATTTTCGAAATAATAACAAAAAATATTTCGGAGATATGTGAAGTCCGTCAATTCGCAGTGGGCTCACGTGGTGTACTATGCCCTAATACCCTCTGTACAGATGAGGACTTTGCCCAGCAGTGGGACAAGTTTAGGCTGTTACTTAGTAACTGATGCCAATGTGGCGCAGTTACTACACTATTCGCTTCGACGGTGTGGGACAGTTATCTATGACCCAATGTAAATTTCTGATATTTCTTGTTTTCAGACAAGCATATTACATTCGTGAGATTGACGCAATGTTCGTAGCGGGCCAAGAGTGTCCACTTTACGAAGTACCAGGCCCTAATTCTAAAAGGGCTAACAATTTCGTTCGAGATTTCCTGCAGGTAATCTATTAGTTTCTTTGACATTCATATACCTACTATTCTAGTTTCTCTTATATTCTTATCCATAAACTCTTTCAGGTTTATATTTACCGGTTGTTCTGGAAATCGCGAGACAATCCGCGTCGCATCAAAATGGACGATATCAAAAGGGCTTTCCCGTCACACTCAGAAAGTTCTATACGGAAGCGTCTGAAGCTGTGTGCAGATTTTAAGAGAACTGGATTGGACTCAAATTGGTATGCCATCTCTTTTTATTTTTTGGCACTTAAGATGAAACTTAAAATGTGTAAATAAAATTGACGAAAATTGTTTAATTCATTCATCACACAGTTCATAAAGTTAAAACCAGACTCAGGAAGATCTCACCAGATCTGGTTGAGGTTACAGTGCTTAGCTCATACGTGGTAGATCGGTAAAAATAACTAACTAAAAAGTCTTCATTTGACCGTTACTTAATTAGATTGACATTTTAACTGTGGAAGGGCCACGTAACAGTCTTCCCTGCAGCACGAATGGACAGGCTCGTCTGGGGAGGGACTAAAACGACAGAAGAACGGCCTAAATTGGAAGCATTATACTCGTACACAATCATATTATATCACTACATAGTATAAAACAAAGTCGTCCCGCTGTCTGTTTGGCCCTATGTATGCTTATATCTTCAAAACTACGCAACGGATCTTGATGGGGTTTCTTTTACTAGATAAAGTGCTTCAAGAGGAAGGTTTATATGTATAATACATTGCACACATGCGAAGCTGGGTCGGGTCGCTGGCTAATAGTAAAAGCGAATCTGTACTACTATAAACAATTATACACCGTTTGTTGTAACTTGTATCTCATTTTATGTAAAACTTGTGTTCTTATGAGAATAAATTCATTAAACCTAAACCTTAATATAATATAATATTCTCAGGTGGGTGATAAAGCCCGATTTCCGCTTGCCGTCCGAAGAGGAGATCCGCGCGATGGTCTCGCCCGAGCAGTGCTGCGCCTACTTCAGCATGGCCGCCGCCGAGCAGAGGCTCAAGGACGCCGGCTATGGGGAGAAGTTCATCTTCACCCCGATGGAGGACGACGACGAGGAGATGCAGCTGAAGATGGACGATGAGGTAATGTGATTACTGTGATCCACTTTAAAATTACCACAGCCGCTGTAGAATATTTTTTCTTCACTTATGTCCGGTTCCTATATTCAACGAACGCCCGTTAGTTACATAGATTCGTAGCTTTCATAACGACCTGTAGATAAAAGGCCCGTACGCTCGGTTCCTATATTAACGAAACCAGGCGTTTTCCATACGAGCCGTTGCATTACAAGTAAACTTACGAATATAGGAACCGGGCATTAGAAGAGCCGCGATAACTAAGGCGATGCGTGCCAAATGTTTGCTCCAACTAACCGAGACTTACCTCACAACTAAAACACAGCCTTCCGTCCTCAGGTCAAGGTGGCGCCGTGGAACACCACGCGGGCATACATCCAGGCGATGCGCGGCAAATGTTTGCTCCAACTGACGGGCCCCGCCGACCCGACGGGGTGCGGGGAGGGCTTCTCTTACGTCCGAATGCCGAACAAGCCCACCCAGCAGCCGAACGAGGAGCAGCAGCCGAAGAGGACGGTCACCGGGACGGATGCCGATCTGAGGCGGCTTAGTCTGAACAACGCGAAGGCGCTGCTGAGGAAGTTCGGCGTGCCCGAGGAGGAGGTGAGTAAAGAAAAGTAATGCAACAGCCTATAAAAGTCCCACTGCTGGGCAAAGGCGTTTGTACAGAGGGTATCAGGGCATAGTCCACCACGCGGCCCCACTGCGGATGGGCGGACTAAAGCTGAGGTGAGTGTAAATCGAAAATTAAAGGCCAGCCGCGACGAGCCATTTGGCGTAGTGGATAGTGACTCTGTCTCTTGCGCCAGAGGGTGTGGGTTCGATCCCCACTGCTGGAAAAGTATGTGTGATGTAGTGATACATAGTGTTTTTCTAGTGTCTGAGTGTTACATATCTACAATATGTATGTATTTACAAAAGAAAGTGTTTAAGTTATTAAAACATACCTATGTTTTGTCATTTACCCAGCACCCATAGTACTTACATTAGTTAGGGACTGAATAAGTCTGTGTTAAAATATGTTCCGAAATATTTATTATTTATTTAATTAGCGCTCTACCCGCCGGGGCTGTATAATCGCGCGCTCCTATTGGCTTATTATTCTCGCGTTCTTATTGGCTGTTGTAATCTTGTTAGTTACACAAGAATGTACATCACAGCTTATATTACTTATATGTTGATTACAATTCTGAACTTAAATATGAATCTTAACCTTATAATAAGTATTAATAGAAATCTTAAATAAACTATTTCATACATTTAGGTTGCCAACGGTTTCTTTCTTTATTTTATTTAAACTACCAACAAAATTACATATGCACGAAATTAAGTAAAAGGGCAATGAGTTAGTTTGGGAGTCAAGGCGCCACTAAATGTGTATGTACAAGTGTTCAATAAATCACATTTATTTATTATTATTTAACGAGTTAAATATAATATCAATAATATTTGTCAAACTTATAACTTACGATTAGTGAGTTCGTGAATACTAAAATAAAACAATAAAACACGTTTGCATATTTGTCGTATTTTCACAGATCAAAAAGCTCTCCCGATGGGAAGTCATTGACGTCGTCCGAACCTTGTCAACTGAGAAGGCTAAAGCCGGGGAGGAAGGAATGACCAAGTTCTCAAGAGGGAATAGGTTCTCCATAGCAGAACACCAAGAAAGGTGAACCCTTAAATTCTCCTTGTATGCTCAATAATTTCCTTTGATTATCCAAACTGTGTTATCATTTTTCCAAATCCCCATGACGTTATCCCGTTTTTCTGATTTATATCACTATCAAGTTATACATTATACATATATATACAATTTTTGGGCTAATGCCTCCTATTTACAGAGTCTATCAGATCATAAGACGCCAAGCTAATTGGTTGCATATTGTCATACTTCACATACCTTCAACTTTATTTTAGACATGAAGTTTCTTTACGAAGCTTGCGTTAAGCGTCGAAAGCGTTTTAAATAAAGACATGAAATCGCGGCATTTATTTTATCGGGACGTTGAAGTCAGGTTACTCAAGTGTAATGTTTAAAGAACTGACTCTGTGCCTATAAGCTTGCGTCATTAAAGAAATTCCAATCTAATGTCCTTTTTTAACATACTAAACTGGTACAGGTACAAAGAAGAGTGCCAACGGATATTCGAGCTTCAGAACCGTGTACTGACGAGTACGGAAGTGCTAAGTACAGATGAGGCGGAAAGTTCCGTCTCCGAGGAGTCTGATTTGGAGGAGATGGGCAAGAACTTAGAGAACATGTTGGCCAACAAGAAAACTACCGAACAGGTATTAATAGAATAAAGAAAATTATGTAGATATTGTTCAAGTTACACTTTTGTAACGCGTTAGACGAAAAAATATGCGAGTAAAATTTTTACGATGCGCGCACACCGACACCCAAAAACGACACGATGAAGTTGTTTGCAAAGCGGTATGACCATGGCAACCAATAACAACTTTTTGACATTTACCTATAATTCCAATTTTATTTAGTTAAACTGTTATCAATTGCATTTAATTTCATTTTCACAAACAAAGAGTACTAGCTCAAGGGATAAAATTTTTAGTTATTTTTCTTTTGATGACTCCGTGGCGAAGTTGCCAAGATATTAACTTCGGCGTCGGGGGCGTGGGTTCGATCCCCACACAAAATAACTATTTGTGTGACTCACAGATAGTTGTTTCGCATCTAGGTGTTTGTCCACCAGCCCTAGAGTCCCGAGCTCATAGATTAGGGCTAAGGTATCCCCTGCCTTTCATATAAAGTGACATCTTTTGAAGTGGTATCTTTCGAAGATTTCCCCCCGATACCAAAAAAATAGGTGTTTGTCCACGCGAATATAATGTTTGTAAAACGTCCTAAACAGGTTATCCTAAAGTTTCAGAATTTTCTTTGTAGAATGTTCTATATCGTGTCAAAACTTGACAATATTATGAATAGTGCCTGAATTATCTTACAGTAAAAGCTAGGGATGGATCCCGTTATTTATCAAATGTTTTATTGTATTTATTCCGTTTTATATTTGTTAGTTATCGTTGGAGAGAGAAGAAGCCGAGAGGGCGGAACTGAGGAAGATGATTTTGGGGCAGTCAGAAAAGAAGCCGCAGATCAATCAAAATGATCAACAGACCTTGAATCAGGGTAAGAGGAAAGGCTTTGATATTTTTTTTGTTATTGTTATAAATAAGGTCGGCGCACTTTTTAAAGCTGTTAAGACATAGAGTAATTTTATCGGCTTTAATCTCATACTTCACGGAGTTTGTATCTATTATTTTCAGGCGAGATATCTCTGTATGTGTCTGTGAAATAGTTGTACAAAACCTTCCATGCATTTATTATCTTGAATATACGGAATCTTGTCCTGAAAAACCTTTAAATGCGATCCGCTGCGAACCCTAAAATTATTCTTATTCATTATTGTTTTAGAAATAAGCGTACAAACGTTTTATTTGTATTTATTCGAGGGATAGCATAAATTAGATTTTAGCATAAATATGAATATTCGAAAAACAAACAACACGTACCGTCGTCCTCGGGCGTGTGTAGTTCAACCAAAAGTGTTCTTTAACTCTTCCATCATAACGTTGAAAATTCCAAAAACAAAATGCACCGTCGTTTAGGGGCGTGTGTTTCAACCGAAAGTGTGCTTTAATTCTAGTTTCTGTAACGTTCAATATTCCAAAACTAATCCGCGCAGGCGTTTCGGCAGGCGCGCAGGCGGATTAGTTTTGGAATATTGAACGTTCAAACGAAAGTGCGCCTTAAGCATACTGACATAGCGTTCAAGTTTTAATAGCGATACGGGCGTTTCAGGGCGCGTGTTGCGCATCGTGCGCACGTTCCGCAACGCGTCCGGCCAGCGGTACACGCGCGTTGAGCTCGTCCGCAAGGCGGCGGTGATCGAGGCGTACACAAAGATACGATCAACTAAAGACGACACATTCATACGCCAGTTCGCGACAATGGACGAGACGCAGAAGGAGGAGATGAAGCGGGAGAAACGAAGGATACAGGTACTGATTATGCAGCGTGTCGTTACAATCGCGACAGTAAATGAACACACGTCCAACGCTACATGCCCAATAATCATAGAAAATATAAGCGTTAAAAATCCATAATAAAAAAAAATATTTTTCAAACAAATCGCGACAGTAAATGAACACACATATAGAGGATAACTTTTTAAATTTATATTAAACATTTACATTCTTTAAACATCAATATTTACTGAGTTATAAAATTTTTCAAAACCAACAGTTTTAGAACACCCTTACGTATAAAACTGTAACGTAAAGTTCATTTGTAAAGGTCACAATGCATGTGAATGGGTTGAATGAATTAAAAAGAGATAAAACATACTGTTAGAAGGAGAGATTTGTAATGCGTCGCTGTGGCAACGAATGAAAGTCTCAGAATGTATGAATCAGTCAGTTGTAGTTGTATAGGTGTTACAAATTTTGTTTCTTTTTTAATTAAATTGGTTTGTTTGAAAAAAAATTTTTTTTAATAATGGATTTTTTAACGCTTATATTTTCTATGATTATTGGCATGTAGCGTTAGACGTGTGTTAATTTATTTTCGCGGTTGTAACGATACGCTGTATACTAAACATGAATTTTGGTTTTATTTATTGGCGCTTCACCTGGTGTTAAGTGATAACCGCCGCCCATTGACCATTCGGGACGCACCTTGTATCTGCCCCGTGACTATGATGTATGTTCGAAGCCTCGGGAATTTGCTTAAATTAATTTAACATCATATTAAGTTATTGATTGGCCTGTTGTGCCTTTATCGAATTTCTTACTGCTCCTTGTACAGAGGACGCAAAAGCATAATCCACTGCGCCCTACCTGGGTTGGCAGGGTTACCTTCGTGTTTCAGAGAATTATAAAAAAAGTGAACGGTTTACGAAAAATTGTGTAGACTACCCTCTGTATAGAGGAGGCCTTTGCCCAGCAGTGGGACATGTATAGGCTTTCACTTTTTTTTTAGACAACTATGACTGCATGTTTTAATTCATTTATTGCAACAAAACTGTTCAGATAACTGAATTTAAATTGTTAGATTACACCCATTTATTGGAATGGCAAGTTTATTCGTCTTATGTATTTGCGGCGATGTTTATTATTATTATAGTTGTTTCACATATTAAGGATTTTATATAGATCTTTTAATTGAGAAAAATTAAATGACTTGTTCGTTTCGTATAATTAGGCTATTTATTCATTGATTTTTACCACTTGCTAGCTAGAATTCTGACAGATAACTTTAAATTTCAGGAACAACTCAGACGTATTAAGAGAAATCAAGAAAGGGAGAGGCTAGCTGGTAACGTGACCGTGCCCGCAATATTCCCAGGAAGTAATGACAGTAAGTTTTCTACCGAGTAGTCGCACAGATAATTTTTTGTCCGTCGTTATTTTTTTTTGTGAGTAGATGGCAAAGGACCAGCTCCCTTGGTTCACCTGATGTTAAGTGATAACCGTCACCCGTGGACGTTTGCAACACCTTACAATAGACTGGGCCCCGGCTACCTCACTCACCAGACGCATTTCAAATGCATTGATGTCTTGTACTTTCGCTTATTAACAGATTTCAACATGTCTTCATCAACGGATCATGGCTCTAAGTCACCGGGTCTGATTCCCCTTGGCCAGATAAAACAGGAGCCAGATCTCCACACACCGTCTCGGCGACGCACGAAACTGAAGCCGGATTTGAAACTAAAAGTATGTTCCATCATTAATATGATAAACGAATATTCATATATTTTTTATTAGTTTTATAAAAAAAGCAATGCCCTTATTGTAAGACTATATTATCTTGTACACATAAACTTTACGTGGACAAACACCCAGATCCGAAATAATTATCTGTGGGTCGCAGAATTGCTGTCCCGTGCGGGATGTGATTACGGCTAAAACCTAAATATTGAAAGAACAATGCCCACTTCCATACATTTCAAAACCTGATAATGAAAGTGTATGTATAGTTACAAGATATAGCAGAAAGACTACCTTTAAGTTAGTAAATTAATATCATATAGTCATTTTTACGATTGCTGGTCTACAAAGTCCAAAAAATATTAAAAAATGTTACTTTTTAGGTTAGGATTTGCAGTTACCTAATATAACGAAATAAATGTGCTAGAACTAACTATTTACGCTCCAGTTTATTCGAAAATAATAATATTAGCCTATCTAAGGTCTAAAACCTCTTTTTTACTTGTGAATTCCTAGAAATCGACTGCCCTTACGTCACTGCTTAGACTCGATTATTGTCACTATGAATTGAGTGAAGAGCATTATCCGCTGTTTCAACAGCTCACATAAGTACTTACTAAAAAAACTTAACTTAGAAGTGATCGTTTATCTGCCCTACACATTTCATTGGCATGCACCACAATATCTAATAATCGATAATTATAATACCTGATGAATAAAACGGGGGAAAAAATAAAATACTATGTTACAGTGGAATGCTTTATTTATTATCATCATCTTCACTTAAATGTCTTATAACTATTTTATCCAGAAATTCTGCTATAACAGAGATATTTTCTTGATAGTTCATCCGAAATATCACACTACTCATAACATGAGTGCAACATCCTATGGTTGGCTAACCAACTAAACAATTACAACAGTATTCGACTATACTAGCTCTGCCAGACACATTATTTTTTATTAAAATGTAGACATAATATTGTTTTCTTTAAATGTGCCAGGACTTAATTTTTCCTCTTATTAGTGTTATGTCACCACTTCCTCTCAGATTATTCCTAGAAAACTCCTGTGTCCCTACATATTTCTATTCTATATGATCCATGAAAGCGAATATGTTCGCCATAATAGGATTTGGCTTGCCTTATTTGGTACCTAATGCAAATAGTATAAGTTCACTAATAACCTAATCTCAGAAACATAAAAAATAAATTATCTTCAGTAGTAGAAACACCACAAACTTCAGCAACATGCCTAATATGTGTGGCAGCATTCTTACAACTCATCCAGCATGAATGGCATATTCTATCAGATGATGATATCTACAAAAGAAAACTATCTACAAAAGAAGTAATAAAGCAATAATTATTATTCATCTTAAAAATATATTTAAAAAAATCAATTATGTATTTATTTGTGGTTAAAATTATAACAGCATCAGTCAATTATAACAGATATAATAATTTACATCTAAAATACAAAAGAGAAATAATCTAGAGTAATAGTATCAAGTTTTGTACTGGCAAATGATTAACAATATAGAAACATGAATATATGATGTTGTGAGCTTGTTTGTATAATAGCATTTATCTGTTTTTGCTTTTCTGAAGGATTATCAAAAACTGTGTTCTTCGACCTGGTTGAGATAATCCTGAAGCTTGAGCAACATCACAGCTTGTTGATTCCTGGTTTATTCTTCTCATAAAGAGTTCATTACAAGATTTACAAATGTAATCTTCCTCAGTAATCTGAAATAAAAAAAACATATATTGAGTTTATAATACATATTTTGGATATATAGATCTTTTGAACAGTTGTTTGTGTTATGTCACAGGTATAATTTATAAGAGCTTTGTTAGTTTGATTAGGACATGATTGACATTTTGAGATTAAAAATAATAAACATAAATACTCACAGTTACTGGCGAATACCGATGAGTGTGTCACTCGCAGAACTGTCAAATGTCAAAAAAAATCCATTTACGTCAGCCGTGCGAACTTTTTTACATGCTGCATTAATAATTTATTTTTAATAAATCTGATCTGTTAAGATCGATCTTAATTTTTATACAAATATTGTTAATTACGTGCTTACTCACTTCTCTAAAACGTAAAATCACGTACAAAACTCAGAAAAAGTTGAATACAGTCAAGTAGGTAGTGTGAAAAATGGAACGTCCTATGCAAAGGATTGTTAAGGTGCGTTCAAAACATGGTAATATGTTTCATCATCATTTCAGCCTGTTTGAGTCCACTGCTGAACATAGGCCTCTCCCCCACAGACTGCCATGAAGCACGATCCTGAGCCACCTGCATCCATCGACTTCCCGCACATTTGCACAGGTCGTCACTCCATCTAGTGGGGGGGGGGGGTCGTCCTACACTGCGATGGCCAGTACGAGGCTGCCACTCGAGAACCTTTCTTCCCCAACGGTTATCGGTTCTACGAGCTATATGGCCGGCCCATCGCCACTTCAGCTTGCTAATCCTCTGAGCTATATCGGTTATCTTAGTTCTACTGCGGATGTCTTCGTTACGAACTCTATCACGCAGAGAAATACCGAGCATAGCCCGCTCCATAGCTCGCTGAGCGACTTTGAGCTTCCTCATACGGCCAGCAGTGAAGGACCATGTCTCGGTTCCGTAGGTCATCACTGGCAACACACATTGATTGAAGACTTTAGTCTTCAATCAATGTCAATATGTTTACCCTTGAAGTAAAATAAGCGTAAAGAAGTATAAAAAAATATTTTTTTCCCGACCTTCTTTTAACATTTTGATTAGTGTTATTACTATAAAATGAAATTAGCTAAATTTTAATATTTATTTCACTTCTATACACAATCAGGTCAAAAATGGGCATTGTTCTTTGAGTACTTTATACTTTTACTGTACTTTATTTTTATGTCAAACTATAAAGTATGGTTAGCAACCCTTCATTTAAATCCCTTCGCATAACGTGGCTATATCATGTCGCTTTTATTAGTAACAAAAAACATTGTGTGGTTTTATGATACCACGATGCAAGTGAAACTTTTTTCTTATGGTAGGAATTGAATTGAAAATTATCAGTTAAATATTAATTGTTAATTATAAAATAGTTAATAATTTAAATTTAATATAAATACTACACGGTTACCTGACGGGAGCCATCGTCGCTACCATACTGGACTTGGCCGCTCTCATATACGCCTTTCACACCCCTACTCCGCAGCCGGCTGTATTTTTTTTTGCGATAAATGGGAAAAAAAAATTTAGGCGACGGAAAAAGTTTCACTTCAAACAATATAGAAACTCTTTGCTCTCATTGCCGCGTTACTAGTAATTGAAAAACAAAAACCGGCCAAGTGCTCCGACCGAAAGGTCTGAATCATGTCTGTTGTATGGGAGCCCCACTGAAACATTTTTTATTTTGATTTTTAATGTTTGTTGTTATAGCGGCAACAGAAATAAACCATAAGTGAGCATTTCAACTGTCTAACTATCACGGTTCATGAGATACGTCTGGTGACCGACATACATATATATTTATATTATTATATATTATTTTTTATATGTTTATTTAGTGTATGAATAACCTGTCATCGTTATATCTGTGAACCTACCTCAATATCTCTACACCACCCTACAGTTGACTGGTAGAAAATGCCTTTGGCATTAAGTCCGCCTTTGTACTAGTTTGTGCAAAAAGTTTAAAAAAAATCAATAAACACAGACAGCGCAGTCTTAGTAACAGGGTGCCGTTTTAACCTTTAGGTGCGGAGCCCTGAAAAGTATAAAAAAAAAGAAACTCTTGTCATTCAGTGCGGCGCCTGCGGCCAGGTGGGGCACATGCGCACGAACAAGGCGTGCCCTCTCTACACGGGCACGCTGAGCGCGCCGCTCTCGCCGGAGCACGAGGCGGAGCCGCCGCCGGAGCCGGACGACGACGACCTCGGCTACGTGGAGGGCACCAAGCTCACGCTGCCCTCCAAGCTCATCAAGGTCACGCGCGTTCGAACACCCGCCCAAGCGTCACGGCGGCCGAGGCAGCCTAAAAATTTGGCGCCCGTGGCCCTGCCGATATGCGCCTAGGCGGAATATCGTGGCGGTTTTAGTCGGTGCGAGTCCGACATAATCCGCTCTCGCCCCCGCGAGGGTGGGTATGCGTAGGCATTTCCCCCACGTTAACAAAAAAAAGGGCGACTTTGGCGGCCTGCCCGACTCGTTCGCTTTAAATGTGTTCTTCTCTATAGAATTGTCGTAGTGGTCCAATAATGCTACGACAGATGGCCCTTAATTAAAAAACGCCTCTTTTGGTGGGTGAAACACAGTGTCCGGCGACAGCTACACTTAAAAAAATTGTATAAAGAACGATCCGTGTTTGTTTTTTTTCTGTGGCCGTTTCGTCGGTCGCAAGTGATTGGATCAACAGTTGCATAATTTTGTATAATTTTGATTGTTTCATTACATTGCAGTATTAGTGTACCCCAGTAAAATCATTAGCTGTCTTTAAACAAATAGGTCTTCTAAGTTGTTTTGTAAATGTAACTGTACATATCTGGCACGAAATACGTCAATGGGAATATTATCAAACATTACACCCGTAACAACCATTATCAAGATACGGTCCAAGGTGACAGCGGTGATTGCTAAGCTTGCGTCAAAAACTTCGTGTGCCTAAAATCCTCTAAACATTATTTACCGATGATTTTTTATGTGTTTTTTTATGTGAAAAGTTGCCAAGCGAGCACACGGTTCACCTGATGTTAAGTGAATACCGCCGCCCATGGGCATCTGCTACACCCGAGGGTCTCAGATGCGATCTTTTGAAAATTGGGCTCCGGCCACATCACTCACCAGACAAAACGCGAAAGTATTATACTTCCACTTTACGCCGGTCTTCTGTGAGGTCGTGGTACTTACCCGGACGAGCCTGCCCATTCGTGCAACAGCCGAGGCTGCTGCTAGGCTCTACCACTGCTGAGAACGTTATACATGCATACATAAAATGTCTACGATACGAAGCCGTGCAATGTCTTTTCGCGTGTCTATTGCAGCAATCCGCCGAGGAGCTGAGGCGCAGGGGCGGCTCCGGCCGGCGGGAGGTGCGCGCCGCGGGGCGGAACAAGCGTCGCGGCACCGCGAGCGAGCCCTGCGACTATCTGGTTCGGCGGCCGGCCGAGAGGCGGCGCACCGACCCGCTCGTAACGCTCTCCTCGCTGTTGGAGGACGTGCTCAACCACATGCGCCACCTGCCCGACGTGCAGCCGTTCCTGTTCCCCGTCAACCCGAAGGTACGCCGATTTGGACCTTACGTCGTAGGCTTTGAGTCCGCTTTGAATTGGAGAAATGAGTGTCGCTTGTTTCGGGAGGAAATCCTCAACCACATGCGCGACCTGCCCGACGTGCAGCCGTTCCTGTTCCCCGTCAACCCGAAGGTACGCCGAATTGAACCTTGCGCTAATCACTTTGAATCCACTTTAGGTTGGATAATTGAGAGTCGCTTGTTGTTCGCGCTCTTCTTCTTTTTAACTTGATAAAACGCATACGCTACCTGTCCCATGTTTATCCCTTCCTGTTCTCAGATAACCCAAAGGTATGCTGACTTGGGATTTACGTCAATTGGAGACTTGACATTTGCCTGTGTTGCTTAAATAGAAAAAAATTAACATGTTGTCCCTATCTCCCACCTAGGTGGGACAAGAGAAGTAGAAAAAAGAAGAATTTTGTGTCCGTTGAAGTGATATATTCGTTCTTATTTGTTACAGTTAGTCGCAGATTATTATCGCATCGTATCGCGGCCAATGGATCTCCAAACGATAAGAGACAATTTGCGTCAGAAGCACTATCAAAGCCGCGAAGAGTTTCTGGCCGACGTCAACCAGATCGTTGAGAACTCCACGCTGTACAATGGTAAGTGTCGGTGATGACCAAACAGTTGGTAAGCAAATCCCCATACACCGATTACAAATGTGGTAGTCAGTTGTTCGGGCCAAGTAACCGAACATGTGTGTACTTGTACGACGCCAATTAATTTGTAATATAAAGATAAAGTACAACTATTCGCGTGTCGGCCGGGTGCACCATTACCGACCAAAGAACATTATGTTATCTAACATCTACTGTGGTAGGGCTACGCAACAGTTTTCGCACGTTAGACATTCTGTGTCGTTCTATTGCACGAATGGACCGATCCGTCCGGGTTATTACCACGACCTCACAGAAACAGGCGTGAAGTAGAAGTGTTACACTTCTGCGTTTCGTCACACAGTTCTACATGGAAACCAATAACAAAAAGAGATTTTATCATACTCTAATTTCTACGACCTAAGATGGCGTGTCAGAGTCGACGTCTAGCCAAGAACCTGACAGTAGATTCTTTTATAATAATTTAAAATAATTTGCACTGATTGAACATTTCTGTTGATAAATTAAGATCTCCTTTGTCTTTTGAGGTAATTGCAAACAATAAAGATGTCATAATGCTGCCAGAAACTTACTTTGATTTTTAATTTAAAAAAAGAAAAAAAGAAATATTTCTAAACGTCGTAATGTCGTAGTTGATCAGAAATGGCGTTAAACGTATACACGTTCGAACACAAATAGATATTCGTATTAATATTTAGAATATGTAGTGTTCACGTATATCCAAATAAATTTCAATTCCATATCTTTATTATATACGGGTATTCTCTTTAGGTCCCACAAGTAGTCTGACGGTGGCAGCGCAGCGTATGCTGCAACGCTGCGTTGAAAAGTTGGCCGAGAAGGAGGAGCAGCTCATGAAGTTGGAGAAGCAGATCAACCCTCTCTTGGACGATAACGATCAGGTGCTCTCTTCATAATCATGATCGTTGAATGTTCCTAATCATAATGGTGATGACCTAATCATAATCTGCGTTATGACGCAGATTATGTAAAGAAGATTAAATTGTTGACGTAAATAATTTTTGTGAATCAATACCTGGTTGTGTTACCATCAAGTCTATTAAGTTTTTATTTTATTTTTTGAAGTGAAATAGCGTTTTTTTTTATTTATTGCATAAAATTTATCAAAACGGAAAAATAAGTAAATAGGGTCAGTAGTAGTGAAATACGGGAGTGTCTCAGTACATACGCATCTGTTGACAATGTACGGAGTATACGGAGGTAACATCTTTAACTTTACGTTGTCTTTACAGGTGGCGTTGTCGTTCATATTAGAGAATCTTCTAACGACCAAGCTTAAGATTATGCCCGAAGCGTGGCCGTTCGTGAAGCCCGTGAATAAAAAGCAGGTCAAAGATTACTACAGCGTGATCAAGAAGCCCATCGATATGGAAACCATGGGCAAGAAGATACAAGGTATTTAAAATGTTCGAGTAATATCAACTTGTATTTTTATCTTGTTTCTTTATGAGTGGCAACTGAGCTGGCGGTTCACCTGATGTTATGTGATAACCCCCTACATTAATATTTGCGACACTCTTAGGGTTGCAGATTTGTTGTCACCTTTTAATAAAGTGGGCCCCGGCTACCTCACTCATCAGTCGAAACGCAGAAGTATAACACTTCCACCTCACGCCGGTCTTCTGTGAGATCGGGGTACATGTTTAGATATTAATTAATTTATAATTCTTTATTGTTAATCAATACAAAAGGTACATGTACTCAAACAGTTTTAGTCAATTGGAGATTTTCTGTGTTGGTCCGAACCTATTCGACGGGTTGAGCTAAATTTGTGTACTTTATACTATATAACCGTTCTTGGACCAATGGGACCACATGGGAAGCACCAGCTTTCGAATAAATAAAATGGGTTCACTCTGTCAAAAGATCTGAGGTAACAAACTAAAAAAAAAATACAGTCTAATTGAGAACCTCCTCCCTTTGAAGTTGGTTATAAATTGGTACAATATTGAAAAAAATCAAATTACTAAGTAAACATCTTTCCTCAAATTGAATTAATTGTCACTCAAATATTTCCATCGCGGCCTAACTAGCATCATATTAATTTCTTTCTCTAGTAAGGTTGTTTTTAATTTGTGTTTCTGATTTGTTTTACAGCTCACAAATATCACAGTCGGGAAGATTTCTTAAAGGACGTCCAACTGCTGGTTGACAACTGTCGCGCATACAACGGCGTCAATTCTCAGTTTACACGACAGGCAGAGACCATACTGAAAGTCACTCGGGAGGCGCTTGAACAGGTTAGATAGTTTTATTGACGATTTTAATTATCAGAAAACTCATGGAGTGGTCAAGGAACTAAATAGACAGGAAAGTGAACCGGTCTGGTCATCAATAAAACAATGATTTTAATTATCAGGCAACTCATGAAATGGTCAAGGAACTAAATTGACATAAAAGTGAACCGGTCAGGTCATCAATAAAACGATGATTTTAATTATAACCCATGGATTGGTCAAGGAACTAAATTGACAGGGAAGTGAACCGGTCAGGTCATCAATAAAACAATGATTTTAATTATCAGGCACCTCATGAAGTGGTCAAGGAACTGAATTGACATAAAAGTGAACCGATCAGGTCATCAATAAAACGATGATTTTAATTATAACCCATGGAGAGGTTAAGGAATTAAATTGGCAAGAGTGTTTAAAGAAAGAGAAGTATTCTATAGTATTCTAAAGTATTATATAGTATTCTCATCTTATCTCCGCGGGCGTCAGCAGTCCGTCTTTATGGGCCAAGAGTCGTCACAATGGGCTGATATTGAGTCTGGCGTACCACAAGGCGGTATACTCTCCCCCATATTATTCTCGGTCTTTATAAACTCGATCACAACATATATTGATTGTCCATACCATCTGTATGCGGATGACTTGCAACTGTACCTACAGGCTGATATCGGTGACCTCCATAACGCGTTCATCAGACTAAATTCCAACTTGAGTATTATTCACGATTGGTCAACGCAATATGGAATATCTGTTAACCCCAATAAGTGCCAAGCAATGCTCGTTGGAAGCTCTAGAATGCTGTCGAAAATTGATTTCCCTAGTCTGCCTGTTATCCAATACAATAACAAACCTATTCCGTTGTCAAATTCCATAAAAAATCTTGGACTCTTTATGGACAGCACTATGAACTGGGGAGTACAAGTCACTGAAATTAGCCGTAAAGCCTTTGTAACCATGCGAACTCTATATCGTCTAAAGAATTTTCTCCGTTTCAAGATCAAACTCTTACTTGTTCAGTCACTTATTCTACCAATAATTGACTATGCAGATGTTTGTTACCCAGACTTGAACAAAGACCTTCTCAACAAGCTTGAACGCCTATCCAACAACTGTATCAGATACGTTTTCGGCATTCGAAAATTTAATCACATTACTCCCTATCGCACTAGACTTAAATGGCTTACAGTTAAACAAAGACGGAATTCAAGAATTCTCTTCATGCTTTTTTCGATTTTAAATGACCCAGCTTCACCATCCTATCTTAAAGATAAATTTAAATACCTCTATCAAAACAACGAAAGAAACCTCCGTTCTTCATCTAACCTCAAAATTTCTATTCCTCCACATAATTCTAGTTTCTTCGGTGACTCTTTCGCCGTTTGCATTACTTTGGAACTCCCTGCCTGAAGACATACGTAGTGCCCCTTGCAAGGCCTCATTCAAACGCAAAGTCCGCGAATTTTACTTAACATCTGAATGTTAAATTTCATCATTATTTCAATATCGTTTATATGTTTGTATTTATGTATATATGTTAGTGTTTTTATATATGTATGTGTATATTTGTATATATATATTTATTTTGTATATGTATGTAAGTATTTATATTTATTTAAGCGTGTGTATATTCCATACATTGTATATTTCATTCACATTAGTAATGTACTTGTTTTTTTTTTTCTTCTTTTTATTGCACCTACCACAATTTATCTCCACGCCCCGGGTTGACTGGGAGAGAATGCCTAAAGGCATTAAGTTCGCCCTTTGTAATCCTTGTTAAAGGTAATTGCAATAAAGTATAAATAAAAATAAAATAAAAGTATGATAACATTGTTTTGTCGATTTTCATGTTTCGAGGAAATAGAAAACCGTTAACCAATGACGTAGGCAGATATTACGGCGAAATATTGCAATTAGCTTCACTGTATCTCAATAAAATTTTGAAAAACATTACAGAAAGACTGTGGCGGTAACCACTTTTAATATCAGATCAACCAGTGCTGGCTAGCAACCAAGGAAAGATCCAAGACCGAATAATAGATTTCCAAAATACAAGTTGCTTTTAAATTCACAAAAACCGCCAGTGTTTCTTACTCATTCCATAAAAGGATCGTGCTGTTTACTCAAACAAACGTTTCACCGTATCACAGTTCGGCGAACACGTGAGCCAGCTGGAGGCGAACATATCGAAGGTGCAGCAGAAGATGCTGGAGGAAGCGGAGCAGTCGGACGTCGAATCGGAGGAGACACAAATGCAGCCGGACGAGAAACGCGGCCGCGGACGCCCGAGGAAGTACAAGCCCTCAACGTCCACCGTAGACGGTAAAACTCATCATCAACATCACCATCCTCATCATAATCATCACCATCATCATCATCGTCATGCCCTCATCCCGCCTATGTTAATAATGAATAATTTCACTGTGGTAGGGCTACGCAACAGCCTTCTCTGTTGCACAAATGGGCGGGTCCGTCCGGGTAAGTACCACGACCTCGTAGACGACCGGTCCGTGTAAGTGTAACGCTTTTGCGTTTCGTATGGTGGGTGAGGTAGTGTCCACTTTATGGTACATACGGCTGTTGCAAATGTGGATGGGCGGCGGTTATCACTTAACATCAGGTGAACCGCCACCTCGTTTGCCGTCTTCTCATATAACAAAAAATGTGGGTATTTACGTGCGGCCAACGCTATCTAGGAACAAACACGATCTGCAACGACTGCGTAATATTTGTACCAATGTGCGAACCCAATGCCCCTAAACCGACAGTTTGCAACTGAATCACAGAGTCATAGTAGGGGCCTACCCTAAATATCAATAGCAAGCGTTTCAAAGTATGGAGGTTATTGAATTTCCAACCTTTAAAAATAAACACCAATAGATAAAATATTATTGTAAAGCATTTTTATTTCACACCTGTCTTTTGTGAAGCCGTGGCACTTTTTAGAGCTGTTATTTAGGCTGTTGTTTTTTTTTTTTAGGAAAATCGAACAACGGAAGACTAATATTGTCATTTCACGAAGTATGACTTAATTATAAAGATTCACAATATTACTTGTAAACAAAAATAGTAATGATAGGAAATAGAAATCGATTATGCAAATTTTACAAAACAGATTGATAAAAATGTGTAAAAAAGGCCCATCAATATCATTCCATAGTAGTTAGACATCACACGTTGAGGAAATTGTATCATTAGTTCAACTCTTATATCTTAATATCTTTTACGTAACTAAACGAATATTTGGTGAATAAAAAACAAAATTTTTTCATGTTATAAGGTCTTGATTTCCCAGGAGCTACGCCAAGAAAACGCGGCCGGCCTAAAAAGGATCAAAATAGCCTGGAGGAGGGTGAGTTTAATAAATATTAAAGTCTGATATATACATTTGGCGAAATAAATTATTTTTATCTAATTTATTAATTTATGTTATCATACATCGGTATTCGAAGATTTTCCTTATCAAAAAAATTAAATATTTTTTATTTCTGTAAAATTTTCAGATCTCCAATACTCTGACAGCGGTAGTTCTGAGCTGGAGGAAGTGGAACAGAAAGACGCCGCGGAAGCAATGGTCGAGTTGTCTGTGCATACGGGTAAACTAATTCATGATACACTAGGTTATATGATTGGAGTTTGCAAATGGAGTTTGATTTTATGTTTAAAAAAATGTCTCGCGTGGTTGGGCCACACAACTGTTTCTGTTGCTAATGGACAGACCCACAGAATGTCGGCGTGAAAAGGAAGTATTATTTTTTCGCTTTTCTGGTGAGTGAGTTAACCGGGGCCCATTTTTAAAGGTTGGTAAGGCATCTGCTACTCCTTGTGTTGTAGGTGTCCATGGGTGGCGGTAATCACTTTGAAACTGTAAACTTGCGTAAAAACTGTTACTAAACTAAATGACCCCTGTACTATATTTCGTATTTATATGTACTTGTATTTATATTTCGTCGTTTGGATTTGGAACGGTTATCATTAACTTAGAGGTCACTTTAACTTACCTCGTGCAAGAATCGAACCTATGACGAATTAATTTGCTAACCACACATTTTCATTAGTAATCAATCCGTTTCAAAGGACTGGGAATGCAGGTTACTCTTAATTGTACAATTTACTTTGTAATTTTTTTTTACGCTTTTTGTGTGTGTATACAATAGAAATAAGTATGCAATTTCTAAAATTAAATGAATTTCACTAAACTATTTAACGTCTTCTCAGATGACAACGCTCACGGCGAGCCGAGCTTTGACACTTCAGAGTTCCTGAAAATAAAGCGCGAGGCGCCCGATGAGATGCCCCATCAGAGCGACGAGTTCGTTGACCTCGATCGTTCCACAGATTACACTTTCCCGCCAGTTGTTAAGGTGCGTTCCAAGATTGGAAGACTTGTTGATTTTTTTTAAATTCAAGATATATTTTAGATGAAATTACGAAATTTGTATAAATATTTGGTTTTGAAAAATGTACATAATTTATTTCTATGAATAAATATGTATAAATATAATATGTATAAATGTCGGTTGTGTTGATACAGGATGAACATGAACACAGCTTAGTGAAAAATTTAAATTGAATTCAGTGATAATTATATTTGTAAATATACAAAGAACTTTATATATTCTCTCAATAGTTATGAAGCTACATAAAGAGACGTTTTAATTTTTTTATCGCATGGAGTGGTAAAGTACTTGCTAACGTGTAAATTATAATATATGCATTAATTATATTTCAAATGTATTTCCCCCGTAATGCTGAATTATAGGAGGAGCCAATTGAGCCGGATATGAATATGGATCAGCAGATGATGGACGCGCCACCGGTCGATCCGCCGCAGTTCAAAGAGGAGCCACCAGAAAACTGGCAGGTTGGTAAATTATACTAGCTAGCCTCTAAGAACCAAAACAGCGGAGTGTACAGGCTCCCTATATAATAATAGAAAATTGAATTAAGATTTTATTTTGGACCTTCTATAATATTCATTACTAGCTGACACCCGTGATTAAGCCAGTGTTGCTCGTTATATTACTAATTTATTTTATGTGCAGAGAAAAAACACATCAAAAAGAAGAAGATCATTCTGATTAATTCAGAAAGTTTAACCATCCTTGTGACAACTCAAATGAAATTTGAAAAGCCATTTGACAGCTGATTAGTTAATTTATACGATTTTTACGATGTTTCAGAAGCCGGGAGTGAATTTTCGTATACATGTATTTTTATCAACGTGTGAAAATTCATCATTTATTCCAACAACGTTGAAACGACTTTATGTTTGATGTTTATGTGTAAATTTAAAGATATTTCACGTGGTTATTGTTTTAGCCGGATCCCGCAATACAAGACGATCTCCAGGTCACGGACAGTGAGGAAGAAGCGGAGGATGGCCTGTGGTTTTAATTTAATATAAATATCTATAATACGAAAGTGTTGTAAGGTTAAATAAATATAGAGTACTCTTTTCGTTACACAATACTTGAAATAAATGTATAAGACAATTTTTGAAATGATAAGAGTTTAAGATCTACATTACCTACCATTTAGAACGACTATTCAAGATCGGCACATTTATTGGTAACATTTTACAGCAGCTACATGAAATTTTGTTAATGCTATAGAATGAATATGGAAATGTAAATGTTTAAAATATTTTTAATAAATTTTATTTTTAATTTTGCTTGTCCTTTCCTTCTGTTTTTCCCAGTCGGGTTGATAATGACGGCTTATAGGGTAGGACATTATCTGATTCGACAAATTTGTCCTCATATGTCCTCAATGTCATATTTTCCGTGAGTTCGTAGCGTGTTCAGTCATGATAGTTGTTGGTAGTCTGTAAACGAGATATAGTTTACAGACCAAGTCTTATGGCTCGGAAGAATTTAAAAAAAGTAAACATCTTTGTTTCTGCTCTTATCTAAGCAGGTCAGTGAAACAAATACTTGTCCCTAATAATCGAACTCATGGCCCCCCGTGCCAATATCTTAGTAAGTTCGCCTCCGAGTAAAGAAGTTAACATATTAACTCCAAATTCGCCGCCCACATTGTAGAAGTTATGTCTAAAATATTTCATGTGGGCAAAGACAATCTTATCGGTATTAAATTAAACAACAATATTGATGATAGCCAAATCGACTGCAAAGACCTCTTATACAAAATTCAATACAAATAATTCTGTCTTAGTGCTGGAATGACTCCTCCATACTTTTGTGTCTATAACGTTTTCTTAAAAACGCAAAAAAAAGTTTCATGAAATGAAAAACCGACAAAGATTTTCCGGTCTCATTTTAGTAAATTACCGTGCTTGAATTGAACCCACCACTTTTAATACTGCGAGTTAGGGCGTAATAACTTTGGTCAATGACATGTTAAAGATGTGTTTTAAAATTCAAACTGACTTCCAAATTAACTGACGTCAAAATTTTCATTGTAAACTTTTAATTTCTTTAACATTTGTTAGGACGAACTGCTGAGCGTGATAAATTTATTGCCCATCGGTCGAGAAAAGTATAAGACCAAGTCCCAGCAGCGACTAAGAGGCCGCTCTTGAGTTGACCCTTTCTCAGAGCAGCCACCTTCGTACGAGTCAAACGCATATTTGAGGTGAAAAAAAAATTTAGGCGAGTTTCTGGCTCGGGTCGCTCGTCATGTTCTGTTTGGTGACGTTGCTTCGGATTTACTCGGCTACTGTCATCAGCCACGTTTACTGTCCGACAAGGCTTTTTTTCTCCACTGTTCCATATGTTTCTATCTACCACTGTCGGCCTTAGGGGCCTTTACAGATCCACCGGACTTGAGGGCGCTCGAGGCGAATAGCCTGAACCCCGGTTACGTGTTATAGTGACTAAGCTCGAGGGTCGTCACGCTATTATTGTTATTCTCGCTGGTTTTCCGACAGGGAGTGCATCGTTCCATTATATATGTCATGTTTATTAAGAACATCATCATCATCATCATCATATATCAGCCGTAGGACGTCCACTGCTGAACATAGGCCTCCCCCATTGACTTCCACTTCGACCGGTTGTTAGCGGCCTGCACCCATCAAATGGGGGGGTATGGAGATGAATGGCTTTGCTAAGAACATTATAATAATAAAATAATATTGTGTTTGTTTTGCATATAATCAGTATAGAATTAAGTGTAAGTAATAATTACGAGAAGTGTATATTTACTATGCGTATACAGTTAGGAAGTAAGACTTAGTTTTAATGGTAGATTAATGTAACACGAGAATGTGTATATGATTAGTCTTTACATAGTTTATTAAAACAATGTCTCTCCCGATGTTTGTACATTTAGATCTTTTAAACTACACAGCGGATTTAATGCGGTTTTCAGCAACAGGTAGAGTGATTCTAGCGGTGTCGGCTTACATATAGTATGCATGTACGAAGCAGGGTCGCTAGTGTACTATAAAGTGTTTAAAATTTGTGCAATTTACTAATAGTGAAATATTTATATATTTATTTAAATTGGAAAAATTTCAAATTCCGCCGTGTGGTCTTAACCACTTATTTCTTTATAATTAATGAATAAAATATTCATACGTGTATAATGGAAATTAAAACATTTTATATAGGAAATAAGATGACATCAATTATAATTTATGTTTATAAAACTAAAAAATATTACAAAAACATTAGAAAATGACACCTCTCAAGCTAAAATCCATTAAGCCGTTCAGACTGCAGAGCGTGCCAAACAATTATACATACATACATAGATACATACTCTTGAAAAACATAACCCTCCTTCTTGCGCAGTCGGGTAAATATGTAACTGATCGGTGTCTATGCATGGAAGATATTTAAGCAAAACTATTATTGTGGGCCTCTATGTACTCAATAGAACCCAAAACAATGATGAAAAACTACTGTTATAAGCGCATACAATGTACATACACATAAATAAATAAATATCTACTTCAATATTTTCTTGATACCTTCAACTTTATTCTATTACACTCACGAGCACAAAATGATCTTTTTGAGTACATGGCTTTGTGAAGTTTCTTAATCTTAGCCGTTTAATGTCTCATCCTTTAGTTTAATTTGTCTTACATCTGGAATCTTAAAATTAGCGTTCAAGTAAATATGAGCGCCAGAATACTTAAGTGGAGCGGGATCGCGCCTTATTAAATCATATATGCGAGAAATGAGGGTGCGGATTTTATTATCGTAAGGCGAGTGGGAAGCACACATTGCGAAGCTTAAATATTATGTTTGACACTGGGGAAAAGTCTTATTAAAGAAAGCCGCCAAATAATATAAATGTTATCCGATTTTCGTTGCGCCGCAGGAGAATTTGACTACTTAATTGAATTGTACGAGTAAAAGCTTTATTTTCACTGAATTATAATAAAATTTTCTTTATTTAGGTTTTTGTTCTCAAATATTATTACATTAATAACAGAGTTAGAACTTAATTTGATTTCATATTTGCATATAGCGGTTAGAGAAAATGTAATTTTATAAATCTAGGTGATGCGTAGGACGTCGAAGTGGAAAAGCAAATAGAAAATGATATAGTTGAGAAAGTTTTGTTGGGTCGATAGCTTACAATCTACACGTAGGAACAGCACGCTTGTTGATTACCTTAGCAACAATCACTTGTTGTATAAAGACTTTTGTTATGTAACAGAAACTTATTAGATTTGTGTTTTATGTGGCAGGGGTTTGGCAATAATTCCGAACGACCGCTGCGACCTAAAAAGATCTATTGTCATCAAACTTATTAAATACATATTAAACATGAATCATGACGCGAAGAAAATAGCGGCGAGCTTCTATGGGCGCGTCAATGCGCCCCTCGCGGAGAGATTTCGTTTGAACTTCTGTACCGATTTGGAGAAGTCCGTTTTGATGAGCAACTTCGAGAGGCGCGGGTGGCACCACGTGGGGCCCGACGATGAGTGGAACTTTTACTGGGCGTCGACACAGACCTGCCGGAATCTATTCAGCGTCGAAAGCGGCTACCGAATGAATGACAACCAAATAATCAACCATTTTCCAAACCACTACGAATTGTCGCGGAAGGACTTGCTCGTCAAGAATATCAAGAGGTACCGAAAAGAACTGGAAAGAGAAGGTAGCCCGTTGGCCGAGAAAGCCGAGGTTGTTCTACCAGGCGGTCAAGTAGTGACGCGACACGTTCATTTGGATTTTGTGCCAGTGACATTCGTTTTACCAGCCGATTATAATATGTTCGTTGAGGAGTACCGCAAATCCCCTCAAAGCACATGGATAATGAAGCCGTGCGGCAAATCGCAAGGGACCGGGATATTTCTGATAAACAAACTATCGAAACTGAAGAAATGGTCGCGAGAAGCGAAGGCACCGTTCCACCCACAGCTAACTAAAGAGAGTTACGTCATTTCTAGATACATAGACAATCCCCTACTAATAGGCGGTAAAAAGTTTGATTTGAGATTGTACGTTCTAGTCACTTCTTTCAGGCCTTTGAAAGCGTATCTATTTCAGCTCGGATTTTGCAGATTCTGCACCGTAAAGTATGACACCAGTGTTACTGAACTTGATAATATGTACGTCCACCTTACTAACGTAAGCGTGCAAAAGCACGGTGGTGATTACAATAGTATTCACGGAGGAAAAATGAGTGTCCAGAACTTGAAGTTGTATTTAGAGGGCACGAGAGGTAAAGCTGTTACTGATAAACTATTTGCAGCAATGCAATGGCTGATTGTGCATTCACTGAAAGCGGTTTCTTCGGTAATGGCCAACGATAGGCATTGTTTTGAGTGTTACGGTTACGATATTATCATAGATAATCAATTAAAACCTTGGTTGGTGGAAGTAAACGCTTCTCCGTCGCTCACTTCGACAACTGTTAATGATCGAATTTTGAAATACAAATTGATTGACAACATTTTGACAGTTGTACTTCCGCCCGAAGGTGTACCAGATGTCCGTTGGAACAAACAACCGAATTTAGAATCTCTGGGCAATTTCGACTTGCTGATTGATGAGGAATTATTGGAGAAGGACGAACCTTCGACTTCGACTGGTCGATCCTTTAAAAATAATAAAAATACAACCCGATAGTTTTAAAATTATTAATTCGATCGAGGATAGAGGAATTTTGGGAGCAGACGTTAGTCATTATTTGCATTTATAAGTACATGAGTACGTATGTATTTTTATCAATAGGTATATATATTTTCTATGAGTTATATAAGATTTTATTATTATATTTGGAAAGTATTTGATATTTTATACAGTAACTAAATACTTAGACAAAAATATATATTGATATTTAATCTTGAAATAAACGAAGTTAGTAGCGGTAGTATCGGGCGGACGACCCAGTTCCTATTTGAATTCAATGGTATGTCATATGCATCAATACTTAAGATTCTTGGAAGTTTATGGAAAAATTTGTAATTAATAATCAAACTATACCTAGTTCGAACACATTTAATACAAGACCTTTAACAATATTTTGCTTAAAAGTGGTAAGGTTTACAATTATTGATTCAAGTAAACCAATTTTCCAAACACCATCCAGTCCGCCTCAGATACCTTTCAAACTGCCTGAAAGAATAATGCTTGCCCAGTCCGGCTAGAACAGCTGTATCCATTTGAGTTCCAAACCATAAGACATAACCGCTAACATAACAACCAGAGCATAATTAAAAACACCGGGGCGTGCTATAGTTCATGAGTGTAGGATATATTGATGTTCAGTTAAGACAATTTGTTTATCGTTTTTTATAAAAAAATATAAACAAATTGCTTATCAATATCCTAGGATGAAGCCTTAAAAATAAATATTTGATAATTTAGGGAAAGCATTTTCTTGATGCAGACAAATTTTTCAATGAAACACTTAAAAGTTACATCGAAATAAATGAACATTTTTTTAAATTCTTGCTCTTGATTTAGGATAACATTATGATGTGTTGTAAACCGAGGACCGATTGATGATTATATTTATTTTAGTGGTAGTAGTAATAAAATAATTATTTTTTTTTTTTCTCATTATATAACTAAACTTTTTCAGTGGCATGTGCCCTAATCTCAGTCTAAGAGCTATAACTAAAAGTTTTCTACTATATCTACTACTGTAGAACCATGGCACTTGTGGTGGTACAGACACAATTGTTTTGTACCAAATTCCTTTATCCCTAGACCTTACATCGAAGTACTCTTTCCACAGCGTGTGGCACTTTTTTTTGTACTTTGGTAATAATTCTGCGTAGTATGACATTATCGTTAGTGGTTTTCCTTCAGATATCCCTAATTTAGCCAAACGATCTGCCTCATCGTTTCCTTTTAAGCCTATATGCGATGGAACCCATTGCAATTTGAGATTAAAGCCCCTGTTCATTAAACTATAAATTTTTCCTAAGATATCATACGCTATCGATGCACCTCTATGTCCAAAAGTAGTTCACCTAATTGTGAAACTTGTGGAATGTATGAAGATGTCAATCATATATTAACAGAATGTGTGAGGTATAAATTAGCCCGTGATTACTTAATCAAATTATTAAAATTAAATTTATTCGATGTAGGTACTTTCCACCATATTTTGTCTAAACCTAGCTCTAAGGCAGCTTTTTATTGATAAAAATTTGTACAATTGCGTTTCCTTGACAATGAGTAATCTTAGAAATATAAGTCATTTTGTGAACATGTTAGTTATAAGGTACAATGGGACTGACATATGCATATTTGTGTAAAAGTCCCTAAATATAATAAAGAGAAAAAAAAAATAATTGAATTTTTTTCGTCTACTTTCTGTGTTACCTCATATAACTAGAAAATTTATCTAAATCTATTATTACTGAAAATTCATTTGACCCTAGTCAAATGAATTGAACAAATAATGGAACAAATCCTAACTCGTTTCATTATTTGTTGTTTACTTTTAAATATAAACAGATTAAGTTCTTAGAAAGTCGGAGCTAAGGAATTATTTCAAATTATAACGGCCAACTAGTATTTACACCAACAATTGCCGAATCTAAACGTCCTACAGCCTGCTTGTGTAAAGTAAGTGATCAGCGAGACATAAAGTGAAATAAGTGTTTCCGTCGTTACGAAAACTCCACATAGTAAAAAATACATAAAAGGTAATTCTGAATTATTACTAGAACAAGGAAAGAATTATTCCTTTTCTTTAAGAACAATATTTCCTGAATCCATGAATTTCTTAAAAAAAAAAATATCGGTCCCCCGTGTCCTTTGAATAAATTCGTGCCATAGGTTGGAATTATTTAGGTGAAACTCAAATTGTCACTTTGCCTCCCTTCTTCTAAACCCCCCGCTCCCTTCGCCACTTCAGAGCATTCGGCGTAGACCGGATCAAAGTAAATATTCAATAGACAGGATATCAAGCTACCCCATTCGTCCCGTGATCGCGATAAATTCTGTCAAATAGTTTCAACTAACTTTATTTGGTTTTAGGTAATGTTCCCCAAGCGAGTCATTTACTCTTTGTTCAGGGACTTATTACGGTGTAAGTAAACATTATTTTAATTAAAACGTATGGGCGAAGCGGATTAATAATTTAGAAAAATTAAACAACTGATTTTTATTAAAACATGTAGAAAAAGTACGAAAAGATTGTCGCCGCTGTGGGAATCGAACCCACGTCTTCGGCATTCGCGGCCTGACGCTCTAGCCACTGAGCTAAACGGCTGATAGCCGCAGCGACGAAAATCTTAACGCCTTCTTTCTACATTGTTATTTAGCATTTTAAACGCCGCAGGCTTTTTTTTAGGACGAAGGTTAAAAAAAAAGCATTTGTAGTTTCTTTAGTGCCGTGTAATTTAGTGTATTCCAATCATTCATCCATAGAAGTAAATAATAATGTCCATGAATGAGTTCATGGTATTTCTATTAACATATACTTAGAGGAAATAATTTTTTCAAATATTCAATGTTGTATAATTTCCCAGTTCACATATTTTTCATTCAAAGAAATGTTTACTTTGTGGAAAGAATAGGCACCAAATTATTCATTTAAAACTATGAGAAACTTTTACAAAATAAAAAATGTTGAATACAATTTAAATGTGTGGAATATCCACACAAAGAGATTTGGGTTAACTTTCTATTATATAGGTACTTGCATTCTTTTTCCAATAGAGTATAAATTGCATATAGCCTATAGCGCAACTCAATTCGTATTCTTTTATAAATTTTGAGTGCTTGCAGAACTAAAGTCGACTAGAGATAAGGGGAGTGTATATTAAACCACGATGGTTGGCAAGTTTGATTTAAAATATCTATATAGAAAATATAAAAAAAATATATCACGCATATATGTAACTAACTATATAACTGATAGAATTTTTAAATGGGAATTATACTAAGATCTTATAAAGTTATATGAATAAATAAGATTATTTGAAAAAAGGAGAAACTAAGAACTTTTTGGTATAATAAGAACTTTTTGGTATACTATATTTAAAAATGTTTATGATATAAATCGACGTTATTGACGGCGGTCAACTGCCGTCAGATAATGTCACGATTCTCAGTACACTTGGTTCAGTTTCATTTATTTGTAAATTATTGTATTAAATCACAATGGACAAAAGAGTTACGTATTGTACTGACTTAGAAAAATCAGTAATAATGAGCAACTTCGAACGCCGCGGCTGGGTACAGGTCGGACCAGAAGACGAATGGAATTTCTACTGGTCTTTCACGCAGAACTGTCGAAATATTTTCAGTATTGAGAATGGATATCGAATGAACGACAATCAAATAATAAATCACTTTCCAAATCACTATGAGCTATCTCGCAAAGATTTATTAGTGAAAAATATTAAAAGATATCGCAAAGAACTTGAAAAAGAGGGCAATCCACTGGCGGAGAAAACGGAAATTGTCCTACCGAGTGGACAGGTCGCAACTCGCTATGTACATTTGGACCTAATTCCTGTAACGTATGTCTTGCCTGCCGATTACAACATGTTCGTTGAGGAGTATAGAAAGTCGCCTCAGAGCACGTGGATAATGAAACCTTGTGGGAAGTCGCAGGGCACGGGAATTTTCCTAATAAACAAACTCTCTAAACTGAAAAAGTGGTCCCGGGAGGCGAAAATTCCCTTCCACCCTCAACTAAGCAGCAAAGAAAGTTACGTAATATCGCGATATATTGACAACCCCCTTTTGATCGGAGGGAAAAAGTTTGATTTGAGGCTGTATGTTTTGGTAACTTCGTTCAGGCCCCTGAAAGCGTATCTGTTTAAACACGGCTTTTGTAGATTTTGCACGGTTAAGTACGACACGAGCGTCACAGAGTTGGACAATATGTACGTGCATTTGACGAATGTTAGTGTCCAAAGGCACGGCGTGGAATATAATAGTTTACACGGTGGTAAAATGAGCGTGCAAAATTTTCGCTTATATTTGGAGGGGACACGTGGTCGGTCGGTGACTGAAAAGTTATTTTCGGACATGGATTGGTTAATAGTCCACTCCTTAAAAGCGGTCGCACCAGTAATGGCGAACGACCGCCACTGTTTTGAATGTTATGGATACGATATTATCATCGATAATACGCTTAAGCCGTGGCTTGTCGAAGTAAATGCCTCGCCATCGCTGCAGTCGACGACGCATAACGACAGAATATTGAAATATAAATTGATCGATAACATAATTTCTGTTGTGGTGCCGCCGGACGGCATTCCGGATGCGAGATGGAATAAAATACCTAGCACGGAAGCTTTGGGAGACTTTGAAGTATTAATAGACGAAGAACTAATAGAAAAAGAAGATACAAATTCACGATGTAACAGAAATATACGATCTAGATAAATTATATTGGTCATATGTTTATATTTTTTATTATTTTGATAAAAGGAAATGAATATTTGTGTCATACTAAATAATGTTTGACACCACTTTGATATCCTAATAAAGGAATGAGAAGGTTCTCCTAAAAATCTATAAAATTCCATTTCTTCAGTCAGTTAAGATTCATGTTTCAATTTTTGGTTATACATTGTACAAGTAATAAAAGTCGAGTAAGATACTGTTAACAGCTTTTAATGTATGAACTAGTTCCTCCACACCACAAGAAATTGCAATTATGAATTGTACAAAGATTATATAATTGTGTGTTATTGTTTTCGCTATCGTTTTTTCGTTTTATTTAATACAGAAAACAAAAGAAATGTGTACACGTGTGTGCCCTTCATTTAATTACGGTAGTGACCAGACGTTGAAAAACTCGCGTGATTAGAATACATATTATATATACAAAATATTTTTCGTAACGGGGACAATTGAGGAATAACTACGGATTGAGCAAACGCTTCAAACCAACTCTCTAAAGTGGCTTCGATTCAAGAAGCATAACAACACTTTACCTTTTTAAAGCTATTTGAAATGTTTATCGAACCCTTTGCGTGACGTATCAAAGCAGAACAACAGATATCTTCCATTTGAGTTTTCTAGTTAATTGAAAATTTGTTACAGTACTATAACTTAATGTAATACATAACTTGTGAAAGACACTAGTTATATATAATCGAAAAGAGCTAATTCCAATATGTTGACTAGTAGTTTTAGCAAATCATTTAAGAAATGTTTAGTAAATCTAATGTGTTGAATATTTGCAAACAATGTATTTTTAAGGGGAATACATGATATATACGTAGTTTTTAAAACGTATTTACACACTTTAAAATGTACCGGAAGTATCTTTCCCTGTTTTTTAAAGGAAGCGTTTTTATATAATAAAATTTTGATTTTAGTGAATAGACTAGATAATTTATAATATTATGTATATTTTTCAGCTAGATTATAACTTAACCATGCCTCACCAGCAAATCTTTATTTTACTTATGGGGAGCACGACGTACGCGCTAATTGATTGATGTTTCATATTTTATTTTCGTGACTTTATTTGCCATCCATCATATCTTATCCTTTAAACGAGCAATTCTTGTATATATATATATAATCGGAATCTCGGAAACGGCTCCATCGATTTTCATGAAATGTATGTGCGTAGATTCAGGGGCGAAAAATCGATCTAGCTAGGTTTCATTTTTAGAAAATGTCCTTTTATCCCTGTTTTCAGGGAATGAAAATGATCATTCGAATATGACAGTAAATTTCGCCGCAAAAATAAATGTTATAATAGCTCGGTCAGTAATCGGGCGGCCCCAAAAGCAGATGGTCGCGGTTCGTATCACGATCATTTACACACTTATTTTTCATCATTTTCTTTATTTTTTATTTTTTTTATTTCCAAAATACATCATTTACCAAAAAAAACCGAGCTCGGTCCTCCAAGTACTTATTATTATAAGTAGGGTATACTAACTGGTTGTTATAAAATACCGAAAGCTTTTATAAAATTTGTGACATCGTATGGTGGTGAAATTGATTTTAAATAAAAAAGGGGATGTAGTTTTTTACTATTTCATCACAATTTGTAAATATTAACACGAAAAATTTGTAAAATTTTTCCATTTCGAAACGTGACACTTGTTTAAGCATAGGTAATGGACGTCATGCACGGTATCGCCACTTGTGAAATTATTTATGAAAAACTGTTCTACATTTTTTGATCCTAACTTGGTAGATGGCGATTGCTAATTGAAATGAAATTATGTATTTCATTTTCTTTCCACTTATACAGCGTGTCGTTACAACCGCGACAATAAATGTACACACATATAGAGGATAACTTTTTTAAATTATATTAAACATTTACATTATTTAAGCATCAATATTTATCGAGTTATTAAATTTTCCAATACAAACAATTTTAGAACACCCTTACGTATAAAACGGTAACGTAAAGTTCATTTGTAAAGGTCACAAAGCAAAGATTGGGTTGAATGAATTTGAAAGAGATAAAACATACAGTTAGTAGGAGAGATTTGTAGTGCGACGCTGCGGCAACAAATGAAAAGTGTCTGTATATATAACGATACCATGTCACAATGTTGGTCTGTGATGGAATCCGAATTCGAAACTCCTTAACCGATTGTGGAAATGTGCGGGAAGTCGATGGATGCAGGTGACTCAGGATCGTGTTTCGTGGCAGTCTATGGGGGAGGCCTATGTTCAGCAGTGAACTCAAACTGGCCAAATGATGACGATGATGATATTCCAACTTAGGACATAGGTTTATATGAAATAATATTTAATGTCAATATTTTTTTTTCCAATTTATATAGGGCGAAGGTTTTAAAGAGTCTAAGTTCCATAATTTATAACTTACAGATATAGTTATAAATAATATAATACAGATGGTATTATAATTCATTGTATTGATATTGACACACTTTCATAGTTTTTGCCATTTTTAATGCCATACATTTCCTTGATGTTACTATTTTTTGCACGTGTTTTTAAGATTCACATTATAATTATGATATTGTGTCCTGTTTCCTGTTTCTACAAAGTAACAGTGTTTTTCCTTTCTTTTACTTAGGTATGATTTATTAAAAATGAATTAAGAATGACTCGATTTTTCATAATTGCTTTTCGAGGAGTACTTGGTTAAATTTAAATTACTTATTATTAGAGTTTAACATATTAGGAACATTTGCAACGCAGCTATGTGTGGCCGTGCAGCTGGTATAAATATACTTAAGTTAAATAAAGTACGACCCTAACGATTGTTCAGGTATGGTACAGGTTGTGATATTTCGGTAAAGTTACAAACAAAAGTTGGCAAGTATTACAATATTGAAAATTACAATTAAACTGATGCTTAATGAATTCGAACAAATGTTTATTCAACTTAACTCTTCAGTTTCAATGTACCTCCCGCTATCAATTATTCGACAAAACGGTATTGAAACAGTGATCGAAAGCAAACTTTTGGTAAAGCTTCCATTAGCAAGTAACTGTTAAAGTGATTCACGAAATTGCTTTTGTAACTTAATGTATTTATTTTAATTCCCTTAAATTTCCCTTATTGTTGTTGTTTTGCTTCGTATCTTTTCGTGAATTTTTGATTTAGGAACCAATTTAAAAGGAAAATTTTAATTTGAAATGGAGGAATCATTTACAATATAGACAATATTATAACGAAACATGAATAATTAATAGATCAGAACATTATTCATTACGTTTGTGATTTGTAATCTAATTTGTTTCACGTCGAACTTAAAAAACAGCGAATGAACATTCTCTGTCATTAAACATATATTTCTTTTAATTGAAAAGGAGGCAAATTATTAAGTATATTCATTCACAAAGTTAATTTTGCGACATAACATAATTTCACATTCGACGAATGTCCTTCGACGAATCGTCTTCTTCGATGTCCTTTTCACCGTTTTCATTTTATGCACTTTTATTTCTTCATCCAATCTATTTTTCTGTAGCATACACTACCCCTGGAAATATGATTTGCTAAGAGTAATCAATAAGCCAATTGTAATCACAACGTAGAACGAAAGCTTTTAAGGAGTGTGAAATTTTGCATAGCTAATGATTATATGGAGAAAACTAAACGGTGTTTACAATTTGTGTTACAAATAAAACATTTTGCTTACGTTCATACCAGTGAATGTAAATAAAACATGTCTGTTGTCATCGATTAAAGATCGTCGCCAAATTTTTTTTAAATGTTTTTTTTCTGTTCGTCTAGTTAGTCGTCCAACGGGCTTGTCAGGAGAAACACCGTAGCTACTGCATGGCGATTAAACGATGAAGCCGTCTACTTCGATGTAACTCCGCGATAATTCCATAATTAGATTTTAATGAAGCATCATATTGTAGACTGTGTGACTTTTGGTTGAATTTCGACTCATATAGCGTTGATTTATTTAAATTAATATTTTCGGTTACAATGGGGTTCTAAATGATAAAAACCCCAAAACAAATTCGGATAAAAAAAATAACAATTAAGTTTTTATCCTTTCCGTGTGTTTAGTAGTTGTCACCACTATAGTAGTGGTGATAACTGGCACGTAGTTGATATTCGTTTCGTAAACAGAGTATTATAATCAGTATGTGATAATTATTTACGTTGAGAATTATATTACTTAAATCCTCTCGTCTTGAATAAACACTGGGTTGGTGCCTTGGTCCCGAGGCAATATGATCTCTAAATTATGTAAATAATTATGTACAAACGCCCTACTGAAAGGTTTAGAAATGTTATACTTCAAGTCTCTGGTTGTAAAACTGGGTAAATACTACAAAGCTTGCGGGCCTAGATTATATTCCTTAAAACGGAGTCATCATCATCATTTCAGCCTGTTTGAGCCACTGTTAAACATTGGCCTCCCCCTTAGAGTGCCACGAAGTACGATCTTGAGCCACCTACATCCATCGAATTCGCGCACATTTGTTCAGGTCGTCTCAAATCTTACTAACTCTTCAAGTCACAACAATCCCGATATCCAATAAACTCTTTTGGTTTGTTTTTTTTTATGTGACAAGTTCCCAAGCGAGCAGGCGGTTCACCTGATGTTAAGTGAATACCGCCGCCCATGGACATCTGCTACACCCGAGGGCTGCAGATGCGTTGACAACCTTTTGAAAATTGGGTTTCGGCCACCTCACTCATCCGACGAAACACAGTATTATACTTCCACTTTACGCCGGTCTTCTGTGAGGTCGTGGTACTTACCCGGAGGAGCCTGCCCATTCGTGCAACAACCGAGGCTGCTGCGTGGCCCTACCACAGAGGATTAATAAAGACTCTGGACTATTAAAACATGTAGAAAAAGTACGAAAAGTGCAGAGATTAGCACTATAAAAAACTTTAAAAAAAGACTGGACTAATAAAGCAAAGTCGCTTTATAAGAAAGCTTGTAGCGACGTTAATTACTAATAGT